TCACCGTCAATGACCATCATATTTTCACCCTCAGATGTGGAACAATCATCACTAATGACGTTGATAATCTTGGCAATTTTGGATGATGTCCCTTTCTTCTTCTTTTGATCAATGTTGATGTAAGGGATGTAATCTCTGACAGTCATCTCGATGATGTCGCCATTGGGGTCAATCATATATGGTGTCTTCCCTGATGGCCAGATGAATGAATACCCAAGGTCAACGCAACGTTTCCCCATCGACATCACTGATGGAGTGTCCTCCAAGATGTGTGCATGTGCAGGTTCGTCAAAGGCTTCGAACTTGATGTCAGAACGTTTGGTTGAACTTGTGACGCCATTGGCAGTGTGGAAGTTCACCACCGCGTCATCATAAGTTGGCAGATCCATTCTGTCAATCTTCTTGGCGGATATCAGGTCGTGTCCGCTCCCTGAGTCCACAATGAACCTCTTGTCTCGCTCCTCAACTGGGACCGTGATGCACATGACGTTGTCCTTTTTCCCGTAGCGCCCATCAACATGTTGGACATAACTTTCAGTGAATACTTCACGTGTGACCTCATCATCATCATCATGTTCCATTTTGATCATAATGTCCAAAGTTGGGCCGACGATGATAAGGACTTCGTCAATGTCACAGTAGTCATACTTCTCATCCAGAATAATAGCCATTGCCTTCCCACGACTTTGAGCAAGTCTGCAAGAGTAGGCCCACTGTTCATCTTTTCTAATCTCATCAGTGGTCTTGCACAGTTTGTTGTGCCCTTTGGAAAGAGTTTGGGACTTTCGTGAGCACTTCACATAGTCCTTCTTCTCATAGACATAGACGTCATCTTTCTGTGGATTGAACTTCACCTTCTTCTTCATTACATTTGAAGCAATCGTGAAAGGTGGCTCATCCACGTCGCTGTCGTCGTGGAGAAGTGCAGGGGCCGCTTTTGAGGACGATGGAGATTCTGTGTTTGGTGCAGTGTTGAACAAATGAGCGTCATGTCGTTTGTTACACTTGTCACCATATCGACATTTGCCTTTTGCCCAGTGCCAACATGGCTCGTCGATCTTCTTGGTCTTGTTAGCTGGGGATTGTCCTCTGGGCGTCTTGCCGCCCCCTTTACCATGTCCACCACTCTTGCTGGCGTCAAACACCTTTTGATCATGGCTGTACTCACAGTCCTTCCCTTTCCTGCAAGATTTCTTAATGAAATGGAAGTGACATGGTATCTTTTTCTTGTCGCGAGGGCTGGCACTTCGGCTCTTTGACTTTCCTTTTCTTCCTTGCCCTTTTCCTTTGGCATGTTGCTTTGGTTGAGGTGATGGTAGTACAGGAGCGGCATCAGACTTTGCTTTGGGCTTCGGAGCAGGCTTCTCCTTTGCGTTGGCCTTTGCTTTCGCCTTGGCGTTCGCATCAGGAGGAGCTGGGGCAGTTGGAGTAGGCGCAGTCGGCCTACCACCGCCGGCAAAATCTCTGGCATACTTTTCCCTGGCCGCGACATGCTTGTCTTCTCTGATCCTGGCAATGTGGCGCTCAATCGCATTGATGAGATACTGGTAAGTTCTTCTAGGATCTCCCTCCAACCATGATTCATATTGCTTGATGTCATACATCATCAAATTGGAGTTTCTGATCTTCTTGTATAATGCATCACGCAACCAATCATCTTGGGGCACGTCCTCAGGCATCATGTTGGAGACAATCTCCATCCACTTTTCATAGAACGTTTCAATGTTGGCATCACCAAGGTATCGTGATTGAATGATGTGCTCCATAGTGAAGGCAGTTTCACGTTGACCTGGTGTCCTGAAATGCTCCAGAATCATGGCAAGAATCTCTCTCCCCATGACAAAGGTTGATCTCCGATTGCTGGCTTGGGTTCTCAGTCGAAGCTTGATTGCAACATGTCGAGCTACATCACCAGCTTGCGAAATAACGTTCGATAGTGCAATAGAAAGCTTCGCATCAATCGACTGAAACCTTTGCCCTCCGCTATCATTCAGAGCATCGATGTCAGGGTTTTGCCTGAGCGCAGGTTGTAACCAAGCTTCCCATGCGGCTCGATCGCCGTCGTTGGCAGCGAGGCATACACTTTTAATTAGATCAGATTGCCAAACTCCCAGATTCTGGTGCTTTGGCCACGGGCTGATGTAGACTTTGTCCGCCTCCCGTCTGGATATCCTTGGAGGTTCTTCAGCGGTGAAAGCAGTCGTAGACTCCAAATCAATTGCTGAGTCCCTCTGCGATCCCCGAAGCGAAGGTAAACCAGGTGGATTAGGAGGCCCAGGGGGTCCGTTAGGATCAGGAGGCCCACCTGGGAAGTCAGGATCATCGTTGCCGTCAGGTCTTCGGTAGTTGGGAATTCCTGCCCCTTCATCTACGCTGACCCCTTTTCCGTCCAGGATCTTCTTGTTGACCTCACGCAGGAGCTCGGTCACTCTCTGATTCTCCGGATGTGAGGGTTGCTGTTGTGCATGTCCTGTACCCGCGGCAGTGTTAGAATGAGCCGTTGCTGATTCGTTGTTGAGCTCGTCATCAAGCTGTCGAATCCAAGCACGTAGAATATTCGACTCATCATTTGCCGCTTCAACCTCACTCTCCAACTTGCCGATCATCATGTAGGGTGACAGGGCACTGCTTGTGATACCTGCAGAGAAGGGAAGTGCATTGAGATTCTCTTGGCTTTTGATGGCTAGCTCTGCGTCTATGAGACCTTTCCTTAATCTGGATATCTCCGCATCTTTCATCACCAATTTCTCATCCCTATCTCTCAGCTCACCCAAATATTCACATGATCGTTCATATTGTTGGGCTCCTGTGGCTAGCTTGTACTTACGTTCACTCTCAAGCTCTGCCCTAAGGATGGCGACCTCGGATCCGAAGGGGGTCGCTGACCCTTGCCTCGAAACCTCGGCCAATTCATCCTTCAATCTGATGTTGGTGTACATACATTCATCCATTTCCTCAGAAAGATCTTGGGCCCTAACCTGTGCGACCTTAACCTCAGTTTCGAGATGTTGTATAGCATGTTGGTTAGAACCGTGGCCGATGGCCATTGGGCCCTCCTGAAGAGACCGTGTCAGCTTGACGTTTCGGTCCTCAATCTCTGTCTTGAGCTCGTTCGTCAGCGCTCGCTCATTGTTGTATAGCATCTCATAGTGCTCCATCTTTTCGCGAGCATTAGAGCTGACGCTTGATTCAAACCTCAATTGAGCAATCGCCTCAGCCTCGGTATTCCTGTAATTTGCAAACCGTTTGACTGTATCATGTTCTGTGTTTCGATGACGTAGATCACTCTCCAGCTTAGCATTGTTGGCTTCATTGATTTTCTTGCGATACTCTCTAGTGATCTGCTCCATGTTGTTTTCATACAACTCGGCTTGCTTACGGGAATGACTGATTGCTTCACTCAACATTTGGTTCTCATCAGCGAGCTCGTTGACAATGGAGGCTTGTCTTTGACTTGTCATCTCCAAATGAGTATGTGAGAAGTTTGCCAGTTCGGATTGACTACGATATTCGACTATGGAACTTTCAAGATTTCTCTGCATCTCGTTTCCTTCCTTGTACAATGTTTCGGCTACACTCCTAGCAAGGCTACTGTCATGTTGCATCTGTTGAAGACGTGATTCAGTATGCCCCAGTAGTCCTTGAAGTTGGTGCACCTCGTCCTTGTACTCTTCCTGGATCTCAATACCACGTTGGTGGATTCGTCTGGCACCATGTTCAGCGAGTGCACCTCGACGTTCAAGTTCTTCGATACGAATGGTTGCACCTTCATCTTCCTTGGAGGCTAACATCAACTCAGCATGGTATTCAGATACTTCATTCGTAGAGTACATCAATCGTTTGTTGAGGGTGTTGATTTCATTGAATACCTGTTGATTGTGTCCACGAAGATATTCGGTGAACTTAGCCTCAATGTCCTTAATGACTTGATCCCTTGAAGCTGCGTACATCTCGGTTTGTGTCACTTTCTCTCTCAGAATTTGACATTGCTCTCTAAGTTCTTCAATGATAGCTATTGGTTCACTGCTACCACGTGCTTCTGTTGATCTTCTTTTGGCACTGACATCACTTGACTCCCTACCATGTTTGTCCTCGACTGCCCTCGGGGTCCTGTGTCCGGTAGGTGTCCTTCTCGGTGATCGGTGGCTTCGTCGTGCATTCCCACTTCGAGCCACATCACGTGCCGATCTTGGAGTACTGGTGGTTGATGCTCTTCGATGTCTAGAAGTCATCTTTTGCCATCCAGATTTTGTCGTCCTTGTCGACTTTTCCCCGCTGTCAGCTGTTCCTGGAGAAGATTGTGATATACCTTCTGCAGGGGCTGCGGCGTTGCCGTCAAAGGTGAACTGCGTCTCTCCGCTGTCGCCTTGCATCTTTGCGATGCTGGTGCTGATCGGATTTCACGATCTTTTGCACCCAACGTTGGTTAACAGCACGCAGGTACTCCGCCTCCGATGGAGGTTGAGAGCCCTTACGGCTGATAACCTGTGAACAGAATGATCCCTGTTCCGGATGTGGTTCAACTCGTTTCAGAATACCTTGCGTTTGTGTTTACCAACGCTTCAACGGCATGCAGCGGAAGCGCAATTGATTTTCCTTGGTATGGGCGCTTGAGCCAAACATTGCGTTTGGCAGTCAATCCCTTGAAATACAATGGGAAGTATGTATACTGTATTCCCATCTAGTCCCCATTTGCAATAAATATATATATATGCGTATGTTATGTGTGTATATATATATATATATACGTGTGTGTGTGTCTACATATATGTATATATATATACATAATTATATATATAATTATATATATATGCTCACCCCCCACCAGGACCTACCTTTTTTCCTCTATTTCATTGAATGTTTCATTGCAATGTCAACCATCTATAACCATCTGCCATCTGCTACACACAAAAGAAAACTCCAAAAAGTGGGTCTCCTAGACCTTTGGTTTTTTATTGTTGGATATGTTTGGTTTCTTGGTCTTCCCCCCAAACCCAGGCCTCAGGGTTGGACACTGCACAGGCGGCCGTGCGTGGGAAGGCCATCAAATCGCCCTCCATGCCGAACTCGCGCACCTTTCGCTATGGATGGGATCTCTTTACCAAAAATCTTGATTGATGTGATTTTAACATATGTTTAACTTATTAGAACTATGATGACTTATGGATTCACATGATGACTTATGGATTCACATGGTTTCTGACATGATGATGAAACCCCCCAAATGGTTGTTCTTTCTGTGATTTCAAATGAACACTGTTAAGGTAAATGAAAACTATAACCTCCATGACTGGGGCACCCAAGAATGGGAAAAAAATCAGGAAAAACGGTCACAGTTTTTACCCAGAATAACCGCAAAAATAGGAGTAACAAAAAGGGTCACCTATATGAAACAAGCCACATGTGGGGAAAAGCCGTCCATGGGTTCTTGGTCAAAATATCAAAATCTCCAGTTTTGATCTCGTTCGCGTATCAAAAATCAACAAAATCCCCAAAGATTCCCAAAGTCCATCCAAAAAAACCGACGAAAATCCAAAAAAACAATGTCGGAAAAAGATAGAAAAAGTACCCTCTGGTAATTTAACATAGCTATTGAAAATGGCCATTTTTTGTTGATTTACCCATCAAAAATGGTGATTTTCCATAGCTATGTTAATTTTCCAGAGGATGGTTCCTTGAGATTTTGGCCACATCCCCAGGTCTCCGGACCAAGCTGTCGCAGCCCTTGAAGAGACGGCAGGTGTCGGCGCCGTGGGAGGTTCCTGATGGCCGGCTTGACCGGAAAGAAAATCTTCGCAGTTCACCATGAAACAATGATATCTTGCACCGGAAAAACTGACAAAACTCATGGACACGAATCCTTATTATTTCTTATTTAACCAAAAAGAAATTGGGGATTTGATCATATTTGATCAACCAAAATGACGGTTCATGAAGGGAAGGGACATTTGAAAAAGGCATGGGTGGCTTATCTGCATCGCTTCATCCCTTCATCTGGGAGACTCTGGTGATTTCCCAGGTCACGTCCAATAAAATTGCAAAGGAATGGGACCGAAAAGATGTTGGGATGTGTATTCTGTTAACCCTATTTGGAATGTTGGTAATGACCAAAAAGATAGAACTATCAGGCAACTATCACACCGAATTTTCCGGTTGTCCAAGCTGAGCAGCTGAGCCATGTAACGCTGACATCAAATCTGGGGCAACTTGCGAGGGCATCCCAATCATCCCAACTAAATGCTACATGTTGATCTCATAACCGTTAAAATAAAAATGGTATACCACTGTATCCCACTAATCAAAGTGGATTATTTCATACTGTGGATGGTTGCGAAATCCTGCACCAGTTGGTAAATGGGTTTCCCATTATAATCCCATAATTTCCAATGTTTCATAGGTACCTAATAGTTCCCAACTGGTGCAGGATTTTTTCCATCCACAGTATGTCACACTTAGTGTTTACCAAGCACTGTCCAAAAGTCGACTCGGACCAAGCCACCAGTCCAAAAGAAGGTGCAGTTCGCCTGCGGTGCCAGCGGGACCCAGCGCTTGTGATCGTGCTGGTTATCTCCAGGATATCCCTGTTATATCACTGGTTGGTTGAGCCACCTACCCCTCTGAAAAATCATGGAGTGAAAGTCAGCTGGGATGATTATTCCATTCCCCATATACGAAAAAATACTCCAAATGTTCCAAACCACCAACCAGATCACCATTATTGGTGAAATCCATGGCTAAGTCCCCATTCTTGAGATCCACTGTGCCGCTGTGGCCGCTGTATATTTGTTTATCCAGTCGCTGTCCTTCAGCATTGGTGACCATGGCGGGGATGCCATAGTCATTCAAATGGTGACCATGATTCACTTACCTTCGGCTAATCATGGGAAAATCCCCATGTGTTAAACGATGTTCCTGTCTGAATGCCTACAGATTCATGATTCTTCCATAGTCTCCCATGGTTTTTCCCAGCTATACCCTCTGGTAATTTAACATAGCTATTGAAAATGCCCATTTATAGTGGATTTTCCCATGAAAAATTGTCATTTTCAATAGCTATGTTAGTTTACCAGAGGGTAAACCTCCATATGCAGTTGATTTCCCCACATTTGATGACCCCCGGCTCGATCCCATCCCAGCCGTCGCCTCTCCCTGGCAGCGCTCTTGGCAGTCGACGGGTTCGCCCGACTCGGCCTCCGTCTTGAAATGCACCCCTGCAGCACCTGAAGGCGACAGAACAAAACGCCCAGCGGCTTGTCATTTCAGGTGAAAATATGAAGAACTCCTCAAAAACAGGCCAATAAAGCAACTATTCGGGTGGTCATTTTACATACCAATTGGGGTATCTGTTCAATCCGAAAATGCTTTTTGTGAAGCCGCGGATCTGGGGTATCACATTTTGAGACAAACCGCCCTCAATTGTGGGCTGGTGAGTTCTTGTTGCCCTTCTGTAGAAGATGGTGAGTAGCTACTTGAACAAACAATTTCATAGTGTTTTTGGGCACTATTAAATTGCCTCTTATTTTTTCCCATTATATTCCCTGGTTTAATTACCCCCATTTTAATCCCATCTACTATAAAATGATGGCCGCTAGAATCTTAACATTGCTATTAGAAATCACCATTTCAATGGGCAAATCATCGAAGTACATGGACCATCTATTAGCCCAGCGATTTGATCAAGAGGGCAGGGTATAAGATTCTTCAATGTTTTTTAAGATATCTTTGGATTTCAAGTGTGTCACCACGATTCACCATGTAATCTGGTTGGTGGTTGAGCCACCTACCCCTCTGAAAAATGATGGAGTGAGTTCGTCAGTTGGGATGATGACATTCCATTCCATTCCCAACTGTTTCTGGAAAGTTATGTCATCCAGTCATGTTCCAGTCACCACCCAAGCAGTTTATCTATATTTATCTTATGGTAAAGTACACCATTTACCGGAAACCTATTGGATGGTCATTGTTCTCCCAATCCACCGGATCCGTGGGGATCCCTGGGGCCCTAAGGGGATCCCTTGGGAAAGGCCTGGCAGAAGCTGCCGGGAGGGGCATGCGAACTGCCCGGAGACGATGAGGTAAGGCGGTGGCACGAAGACACCTGGTACTTTTTGGAAAATCCGGGATTTTTCTGGGGGAAATCCAGGGGAAACTGAGGTGTTTCTTCGAAATCTGGAGGAAACACGGGTTTTTACATGAGGAAACTAAGAAAAGTGTTTTCTGATCAATGATTGGTAGTTTCTACTGGAGATGTTACCTGAAAGAGAGCGAAAGAAAGATGGGAAGAGAAGCAAGAATGCTAGAGCTTTCTTGACATATTGGGAAAGAAGAAGTAATAGCAAAAGATACAGAGAAACATCTGAAGGGTATGGAAAGGGCGTTCAAACATGGGCTCAGACTGGGATAGTCTCAATATGTGGGAATTTACCATTGCAAAAATACATGATGACAAATGTGATTCTCATCATGCTATGGTTACTCCATTCTCATTGAATCACCACTGGTTTACTACCAAGCCCAAAATAGATGATGTGGTAATGCAGGGGTCACAAAAATGGTTTAAGAAACTCCATATCTCCTATTTTGATGGCGAAAGACTCGCCTATCTTTGGCAGACCCCAATACTCATGGCAAGTTCCATGGCTCATGGGTTTCAAGACCAATGGTCAAAACCCTGGTACCTATATAGATATAGATAGAGGTGTAGATATAGACATAGACACGGAAATAGACATAAACATAAGCATAGATATAGATATAGATATAGATCTACGATGATCTACGCCTAATACATATTATGTGCAAATACTATAGGCCAGTATGGACCATGTATATTTATATACGTGTAGATATCCGCATATCCATATATCTATATATATCCATATATTCATATATGTATATATTTATATAGAGTGTCAACACAATTTTACGCTACCTTCTTCTTGAGCACCGCGCCTTTGCTTCCTGGAGGGATTCCTTCAAAGGTGCTGGCATCAGCTGGAAGTCCTGGCCACCAGGACGACTAGGACAAAGGTTGGGAAACCCCGTGACTTTTAATGGTTAATCCATGGATGATTTTCATGGTGATTTTCATGGATGATTTTCATGGTGATTTTCATGGATGATTTTCATGGTGATTTTCATGGTGATTAATAGATGATTTTCATGGATGACTAATGATGATTTTCTAATGTGGGTAAAACAATGGTTTAAATAACCCCCCCATGACTGGGAATGCTTTATGTTTTATATACCACAACTATGTTTACATGCTGATCACTTCGGGATGGTTTGGTTTATGGTTCATCCATTTCCACCCACAACCGGACCCGGCGCCTGTGCCCCAGGTGGTTGGATTCAAACAATCGCAGGGATGCAGCCAGTAATCCTCCACCTGTGAGGTGCTTGGATCGTCAAAGACCAACTTTTGCAGCTCGCCCTCCTGGAAAAACAAGGGCTCGAGGTTGATGGATTGCGAGCCCCGCCCCCCCCAAAAAAAAAACACAGGGAAAATGAGGGGTTGAACGATTGAACCAACAATTTTGTTGAGAAAAATATGAGGCTTTTAAGCAACAAGCTTGCATGGGGTGGCTGAGCCAGCACTTGAAAATTGTTGACCAGCGAAAAGGAGAAGTTGAGCCGAAGATTTTGGGCATGGGTTAAATTGACTAGTCATTTTGGGCATTGCCTTATCCGACCATCCCGAATTTTTACCCGGTAGCCCAATGAGCAAATATATCCTGCGGCTTTTCGGCAAATTGAACCGATTTTCTCCCATGGAATCCCTGGAGTGACCTCGGACATTCATCTCAAACATCCTCAGAGACTGGAGTGACTCACGATTACCATGACTAAAAACAAAAAGAAACTTCACTGGCCGTCGGTTTCAATTAGTCATCATCGATAGTCTGGGGAAATGATCTAGTTAGACTTTGATTCCCATTCCCATACTTCAACAATCATCCTGAAGTACAGCAGACAGGCTGGTCCCGCGATCATGTTACTCAAGATATGTCCATGATTATTGTAGTGACACGTGACCATGTTTCACTTGCATACAAGTGCATCATGCGCTTAATATATCTTAACATTGCTCGCTTGTGATTCCATCCGATACAAGGGTTGTGTCTTGTCCAATCGTTTCAAACCTCAAAATCTCAATGGTTAATTATTGCATGTTCGCATCATTTTCCCATCATTTTCCCATAATTTTCCCATATGTTCCCTTCAAATCCGGATGAAAACTGCAAAACCCCAGTGTCCCCAAAGCAACGCCTCTTCTGGTTCCGGGAACAAAGGCTTCGGACAGGGCAGGGTGGCCCAATCCAGGCCCACCTACCAAAAATCATCGGCATGGGAAAACACTAAGATAGCTAGACAAGGAAAAAACACACGGTTTCTCTACAAAGTGGCGGATGTTCTATCACTACCTCTTAGTTTACTGGAGGTTGTAATCGTTCAACCCATTATTTCATGGGTACATCTCTGGGCCTCTGGGTCTCATGTGGTGGATCGTCTACAGTCTACAATCTACAACCAATCACCGGCAGATTTTCAAAATCACCAAAACTGGGGATTTGCCCTTAGGAAACCAAGCAGATCCTTCAGGTCTGGCTCAAAATTGACCCCTTTCGCACAGAACTGGTCAGATTTTGAGCACAAAAAAAACCATCCCGTTGGGGGAAAATGTCCCAAGAATCATCATCCCCAGTGTCTGAAATTCAATTCTGTTTGAAATCACACCAAGATCTTCCGGTGAATCCTCAATCTGGGCCATCAGACGCTATAAAACACCCATGCGGATACCCAGCTGAAGGCTACTTTGCAGGGTGCTGTTTCAACTATGTTCCCAGCAAAAGAAACATGACAACATGAGGTTTACAGAGCTACTCAACATCAGATACTGTCAGAATCTGTCAGATACATGAAATGTTCGATCATTCGCAAGATCGACCACCGCATCTCAAAAAATAAGGCCGAGTTGTTGCCTGATTCGTGGTGCCCAGCTTCAGGATCGACCACCTGCAAAATGCACAGATCGTTTTGCCGAGAAATTACGAGATTTTAAAAAAATTGCTGAGTGATGTTCATTCGCCAAGCTGAAACAAGAACATTTAGCAATGTAATACCAAATAAGCCTGTTTTGGACAGATTCAAACGGATGCCCTGAAATGTTCACATCATTTCGATGTGGTGATGTCGTGGGTTGTGGTGCATGATGTACCCGTTGTGAGATTACCAAACATGGCCCCCATTTTCCAGGTAATGTACAGTACATCATCAAAGCTAACAATGGAAAGTTCCGAACAGTTTTCCTATCCAGAGGGAAATCATCTGGTAAAACAATGTCAACCACCCATGACTGGGAATCGTTTATAGCATGTTATACCACCTATAAAAATGCTGATGACTGGGGGATGGTGTCGTTTATGGCATTGTTTTAGCCACATGATCATCAATAGAGGTTTTATGACACTGGGTATCATCAATAGCTCCATGACTGAGATGTAAATAATACCTCTGGGACAGGGATGTAAAGTTCCGAACTGTGTTCCGAACTTAGGGAAATCATCTACAAATGGTATGTTTCCTATGACCATGTTCGGTTCCCGGGTAACCAAAACCCAGGGCAAATGACATCTTGTTTCTCTCATAGGAGATCAGGAGATATGGCTATGGACCAATACCTATAGATACAATTTGTTAGGGGATGAACATTCATTTACCAGCAATTTTGGGGTTCACTAGGTACCAGGGTTTTGACCCATCCCCATATCCCAAAATGGCCATGTTCATAGGGGAAAATGATGGTAAATGATGAACGAATGGAAAAAGTCCTTTCTTGGACAGTTGGCCACATCATTTCGGAGGAAGTCTCACAGCAGCTGCCCCACATGGTTTTTCGACTTCGACTTCCAGCCGGTGGGTATTATAACCTGACCCAAATCTCCGATGAACCGATGCTAACCGATGCTGCGAAAAGTAGACAACAAACTGGGTGATGTACTTGATGTACCATCGGTTTTTTGAAGACAGCGAAGATCTGCGAAAATTCTGATTTCTTCCAGTGCTGTCAGAAAAAAGTCAGAAACATCCAGCCCATGCTCCCATGCTCCCATGCTCCCATGCTCCCATGCTCCCATGTTCCCTGTCCCTTTTTTTCAATAGTTTTACCCACCATGGGGATGTTTACCCACCATCTAGGATGTCCCAGTCGTCACGGCGTCGGCGCCTGTAGTTCAGTTTCACCCCACCATCTTTCCCCATGCTGATCCACTGCCCCGTTTGCTTGGTGCTCGTGGACGGGGCGCAGTCCCTGCGCGGCGACGCTTTCGCGATGTTTTTTCGGCGACCGGGGACAAGTCTCCGTGTCAAAATGGAGGAATTGGTTTAGAGTAAAACAACAATTACGGTGTAATTACAGTATGTATTCGGATAGAATGGGGATGTAAGAGAGGAAACGACGGGATATATACTGTAATTAATAATCAACAATATCGTATGGAATTGTCCAAGAATATGGCAACTTTGATAAGGAAAATGATGATAACCCGTGGGATGTTGGTGTCTATTTTCAGCCAAAACCATATAGCCTCATAGAGACCCCAAATAAAATAAACAAAGTCCAATTCACCACTACTCCAGATTCCACAACTGTCTGCATCATTTAGGGTTTGCTATAGCTACTGAGTTCAAGTAGTCTTTTAGATATTTGAAAATTGAATTCCAAAAACAATGTTTTTTTGCCAAAACGGTATGAGACTCTCCAGCAGTCGCAAAACACCGAAGTGTTGGTACCTGTGGGACCCCAGATCACTAGAAGTCTCATTGAAAGTTGTTCACCTTTTGAAATCTCTAAAATGCACAATATTGTATGTACCTATGTAATGAGAAAACAAAAACTGGCTCTGGTTTGATCTGCCTGTTAAGCAAAAATAAACTACCCATAGTTCCTCATCCCCGATTTTTCGGCACCTGGGAAAGCCCACGCCATTGTCGTTGCCGTTGCAATACATCCAGGGATTGGATCCACTGATGGCGTCTTCGAAACCTCTGAAGGCCCCCAATTGCTCGATTTTTTGGATTTGGAAATCTTGGTAAACCCAGGTTCTGACCGGAATATTTACGATGCCTGGAAAATAGATGAAAAACTCCAAAAGCCAACTTGGAACCCAAAAACTAGGTCAGAGCGCCCGCAGGAGCGCTGTACTGTTTGCGATTTTCAAAATGCATTTCTTCACATCTTATCCACAAAATTGTAGAAAACGCATGATTTTGGACACTTATCATCAAAAATTGTTGACATGCACATGTGCAAAAACGTGGAACCGCGCGCTCAAAATGAGTGCTTTCATCAGAATTCATTGTGTTTTCCCATGTATTTGCAGACCCCGTCGGAAATCGCTTGAATTTCATTTTTTTTGTACTAACTTTCCATGCCGTTTGTCTTTGCAGAGCTTACCCAGGCTCTTGAAAACGTGGCCCTCATTGAAGCGACGCCACTGTCGTCCACGCCATAGGTATTTCCACAATGCGATTTCTTTGATTTTCCCTTTGGATAGCAGGTTATATGTTACGCCAGCGTACATGACGTTATCACACCCACCCCACCCCACCCCAACCCCACCCCACTTGCAGACGTGTTAGCAACGTAGCCAGCGTGGCAGTACATGTGTGCCGCAAGTGCACATGAACGTAGCACAGCGTATCAGGTCATATAATACGCCAGCGTACATGACGTTATCACACCCACCCCACCCCACCCCACCCCAACCCCACACCCAGGGTCAGCGGTGATGAGAGGAATGTTGAAAAAATGAGGAAAGCGTTGCGCTCCTCGAGGCGCTCACACCAAAAACTATGGCCATGTCCAGTAAAATGCTTGCATCGATCATACAAAATTGCGCTGTGAAAGTGGCGACTTGGGCGGAGCCGTTCAGCCGGCTTATTCCATTGATTGGAGTCCACTTGAGGCTAGGCCAATTAGGCATTGCTTACTTCACCGGCGCTGAGTTACAAGACTGGGGATCGAGACTGCAGTGAATGTTGTTCGTATACAATGGCATATGTGTATGGGCATTGTGTTTATTTATATATTGTAAATACATGTGATATAACATTATAACATATATGTTGTAGTTACCATCATTACACAATGTATCTCACCACTGATTGGCCCGTTCGCTGCTTTTCCCAACACAGCCATGGCCCTGGCCCTGGCTGCGTGGGCTGCCACTCTCAACGGCCGGGCGACTGCTGAAGATGTCAAATTTCTCGTGGAAACCCACATCTCCACGCCACTTCACCATCAAATCCTCGGACAGATGCTGAAAACCCGGAGATCTGTTCCCCAACAATTCTGAGAACTTAAACTGCAAAAGGGGAAAAAACCAACTTGAGGTAAACCAAAAATTATCCCAGCAAGAGACCCCAAACGGTGCGCACTTAGGATTCTAAACGGAAAGGCGGAAAGGACCTAAAAGCGTCAGTGGCTGGAAGCTAGCAAGACAAGAGCGACCCTAGTAGTGAAAAGAAGAAATACCAGGTAAGATGCTGCAAGTTCCCTTTGTGAAGATCTCTGTAGAAGATCGTGCGCAAGATCTCCTTGACGGGTTCTTTGTAGAAGCTGCTGTGCAAGATCCCTGTGTAAGGCGATCTGTACAATAGGTGTCTACAGGAGATCTCCGCAGAAGATCTGTGCAAGGGATCTCAAAATAAGATCTTTGTTCAAGCTATCTATAAATGATCTCCGAGCAAGACCTCTCCTCTCTGCACCAGGTCTCTATACCAGATCTCCAAAAGAGGTCTCCTAGCAAGATCTCTGCACAGAATCTCTATTAGAGGTCTCTTGGCAAGACCTCCTGGACAAGATCTCTACAAGAGGTCTCTTGGCAAGATCTCTTTATGAGATCTCTGCACAAGCTCGCAATAAAAGCTCGCTTGGCAAGATTCATGTAAGTGTAAGAGACCTCTTGACAAGATCTCTGCAACAGATCTCTATGCAATGTCTCTGTACAAGGTCGGTCTCCGTAAGAGGTGTCCTGGCAAGATCTCTGTACATCATCTCTTTGAAAAAAATCTCTGAGCAAGATCGCTGCTCTCTTCACCAGGCCCCTGTACAAGATCTCTATCAAAGGTCTTCTGGCAAGATCTCTCTACAAGAACTCTATAGTCTTTAAGAGCTCTGTTGGCAAGATCTCTGCAAGAGGTCTCTTGGCAAGATCTCTGAACAAGATCTCCAGAAGAGGTCTCTTGGCAAGATCTCTGTACAAGCTCCCTATAAGAAGTCTCTTGGCAAGATGCCTATGCGAGATTTCTCGTTTTGTGCGAGCCTGCGCAATCGAAATGCACATGGACATTTCACAAGAGCCATTTTCATGTGCGGAAATTTTCAGGGAAACTGCCGGACGCGACGGATACCATGTCGATCAACCAGCGGGCCCAAACACCTACCATAAGAACCTCCCAGTGTGGCCACACTGTTTGGAGAATAAAACAAAATTTATAATTCTGATTAAAAACAAAAGCTCGGGAGTTCACTTCTGATAAAATCCGCTTGCACGCGGAACAATGTTTCCTTTTCAGGGTTGTATGACCATCGCCATTGACAAACCAGAATCTGCAGGATTTCGGATCAAAACAGCTGAAAATCTGGCAAAAAAAAAATTAACGGGGCTTTTGATCACCATTTCGGGCGGGTTTTCTCAGGATTGCGGTCTCAAAGTGAGGCCTCAAAGTGGTTCGGCCACCTTCCGAAAGACTGCTCATGTCTGGGGTGTGGCCCTCTGTTCACATGCAACAAGGATGGAGTGCAGGCTAGACTCCGGCTAGACGTGGATGTTCACGGATATATCCAATGTTGGGGTGTTTACATCTGGTTCCTTCTCATTTGGAGGATTTTTTTCTGCAATGGTCCTACAAATCAAGAACAATCATTAAGGCAACATAGGCATAGCCGCCAAGGATTCAGGTATCAAAAAGATCACATTCTTGATCCGACGCCAACCATGAATAGCATGTTGCTCAACCCACAAACAAGAATTCATCTTCAATCGCAGGTAAATCCATGATAATCCATGTGAGGTGTCGATTTAAGGGGACTACCTGACTACAGTTTTTCTTGATCAACCGGGACTCCGATAACTTTCTTTGGTTTTGTTTCCGGAAAATGTCGGAAAAACATGGAAAAAGCCATCATTTCAAGGCGTTCACCATGATTTCCAAAGGTGGCACCTCATAGGGATCGTAGTTGGTCAAGGGCTCATAGCGGCGGATATATCTGGGCTGTCGGAGACCGACCCAAAAAAAAAAAGATCATTGGTTTCACCATGGGTTTTCCCTCGTCCAACAAAAACATGGTCAATAAATGTCAATAACTTGGATGATAACCTCGAGCGATCCCTCCATTTTTGGAAATCCCCAGGTTGCGATCTCCCAAAGAAGTGATCGTCATTGTCCATGAACGATTCGGGGGCCAGTGCCAGCTCATTGGTGGAAGTCTGGGAGGTGGAAAAACAGGGAGGCGAAAAAAAAAATACAACTTTTCTATATCACTTGGAATTCTATGTGGGATTATCCATCCCCTTTTTCCGTCAAACAACTTCAAGAGAGCATGAAACAAGGCCAAGAACGTATTTAAATGAGTCACACAGAATTGTGGTCTGAGAAGTTTCTTTGGACTGATCCAAGGATCAATACATGCCACAGAAACCATGTCTAGCATGTCTAATCACGTGTCTCTTCACTCGCATCTGGCTTTGTGATGCTTTGTGCACCCAGTAAGATTCAGAAAGGCCCCATAGCCTTTAAGGAGCAAACAGGCAATGAATCTTTTCCAAATGGTGGAGAACTGCCGAGCAACATGTCGCGATAGTCCGCCTTGCAAGAGTTGGGAGTACCTTTCGGCGCGGCCCGAAAGGTTGGGTGGTTTGTCTGAAAATGATGGGTATAACTATGGAAAATCACCATTTTTAATGGGAAAACTCACTATTTCTATGGCCATTTTCAATAGCTATGTTAGTTTACCAGAGGGTAACATCGCCAATTTCAATGGTGAACACCACCTTTTACCAAATTTCAGTTGGTGATTTGGGTTGGTATCCGACCCCATTGCAGACACACCGAAATGACCAATGGGTTGTGGGCCCCTGTTTCTGCGGCTGCGGAGATGGCTCATAGTCATCTTCCCCATAAAGATAGCCATTCATTGGAGGGTATATCCAATTGTAGTATCCCCATGAAAAAAACGCACAAAATCCATGTTTCAAGGGCTAAATTCAGCTAGATTCACCATTGTGAGACAAACCCAAATATCATCTGGCTATCTATATCTATGTATACATACTTAATATCACCATTCAATATACCCCAAACAAAATGGTTGGTAAAACATCGAAATCCTCATGAAAAATATATTTTTGATGGTTCCTCCACTGTTGCCTGGCCAAATCCACCCATGTTTCGACGACAGTTGGACCCATCGATGCCCAGACGCATTCGCGACGGAAGATGCCCATGGAGCTCTCCCGGGCGAAGGTGTTGAAGGTGGACTTGTCCTGTCGAAGCAGCTTCCTACCCGCATTAGACGTAGGGTTGAGATGTTTAATGAATCTTTAAGGAATCTAAGTCATTCTAAGTCTATATAATTAAAGAGACCAAAACGGGACATCTAAGCTGTGCAAAGCTTGTTCTGAAGCCGCCTTTCAGATGGTTTTTGACTCTGAAAACGCCAGATTAGCGCAAACATATGATTCCCTTAGCTTCCTGGTATTCCTCTCCTAGAGAGCCATTCATCGACTGAATACGTGAGGGGCAGGCTTCAGATCTGGAGGAGCCCTCACCCCATAAATTTTGAGCCATGAACCATAAATTTAGAGATTTCATTTGTGTATACAAATAGATGTCAACGTATATATATATATGTATATATATATATATTGGTGGTTATTCAGTTATTCAATTATTCAACATGATTCAACCATGTAAATCCTGGTTACCCCAATGGCCATGTGGTGATTTTCTTCAAGAATGGCAGGGGCTGCCCCGATTTTTCCAAAACAAAAACGATCTGAATCCCAGGGTCAAAACCTTGGTATATATTTTTTGCTCAGGGCAAACAACATGGTGTTAAAATGACCACATAAAACATGAAGATTCATCCAAATTACAGCTCAAATCCAAATAGTCAATAGTCCATAGTCAAAATCCTATGGGAAAAAATGGTTGAAGATGTTAAATCCAATCATTCAAAAATCAGTTGAATCCCCATCTCAAAACTCCTCCCAGACCGTCCAGACCCGGCGCTCCGCCAATTTGGTTCCATAGTCACCGGTGGCATAGATCACCTCCCATTCCGCATCGGCCTGAACCAAGGGATCTGGCCAAATTACTTTAATTCTTACCTCGTCTCCCTCGCGTCTTAATTTGTTCCCCATGATTACTGTCCTCGTTCGTTAATTTGCAGGTGCAAATTAAGGCTTTACCTCGTTAATTCGAAGGAAGAAAGTAGCTTGTGGGCCTTCTTTCCAGGGTCCAACCCCAAGGAAAAAAAGCTTTTCAGCTTCCGATTTTTTTTTTTCCACGATCCACGGTCTCTTGCAGGAATTTTTAAATCTGAGTCTGATCGGTCTTTGCGCTTCTTGCGCTTGGGTGGTGAAATCTCTGACATTATCGCAGAGATGCAATGCTCTTCTGGAGCAGCTCTGAATCCTACTGCTTCTGCAGCCGTCAACCCACGAAGCGGGCCTCTGGCGATAGAAAATAAAACTTTTTGGGGCCTGAAAAGTTGTTTTTCCTTCCTTGCCTGCTGACCGGCCTCTGGCGATAGAAAATAAAACTTTTTGGGGCCTGAAAAGTTTTTTTCCTTCCTTGCCTGCTGACCGGCCTCTGGCGATAGAAAATAAAACTTTTTGGGGACTGAAAAGTTTTTTTTCCTTCCTTGCCTGCTGACCGGCCTCTGGCGATAGAAAATAAAACTTTTTGGGGCCTGAATTTTTTTTTTTCCTTCCTTGCCTGCTGACCGGCCTCTGGCGATAGAAAATAAAACTTTTTGGGGCCTGAAAAGTTTTTTTTCCTTCCTTGCCTGCTGACCGGCCTCTGGCGATAGAAAATAAAACTTTTTGGGGCCTGAAAAGTTTTTTTCCTTCCTTGCCTGCTGACCGGCCTCTGGCGATAGAAAATAAAACTTTTTGGGGCCTGAAAAGTTGTTTTTCCTTCCTTGCCTGCTGACCGGCCTCTGGCGATAGAAAATAAAACTTTTTGGGGCCTGAAAAGTTTTTTTTCCTTCCTTGCCTGCTGACCGGCCTCTGGCGATAGAAAATAAAACTTTTTGGGGCCTGAAAAGTTGTTTTTCCTTCCTTGCCTGCTGACCGGCCTCTGGCGATAGAAAATAAAACTTTTTGGGGCCTGAAAAGTTTTTTTCCTTCCTTGCCTGCTGACCGGCCTCTGGCGATAGAAAATAAAACTTTTTGGGGCCTGAAAAGTTTTTTTTTCCTTCCTTGCCTGCTGACCGGCCTCTGGCCCCCAAGAAAGTTTTTCTAGCCAAGCCCAAGCATGCAACAGAACCGATGCAAGGCTACCTCGTCGAGGTCGGCTAATTCTAATGAGCAAATTAAGGGCTGACCTCGCTAATTCCTGCAACCTGCCTCGTTGCCTCGGCTGTCCTCGCTATAATTTGTGCAGAAGGGATTGACTTGGACCAAAACTGGGCTTTGAAAATTAGGACCCCCAATCTTATGCTGGTTGGTGGTTTTAACCATCTTGAAAAATATTAGTCAATGGGAAGGATTATCCCATATATTATGGAAAATAAAAAATGTTTGAAACCACCAACCAGTATGTCATGTTAATATATGTTCATGAGGAAAAACAACATTTAATCTTAAACCATCAAATTCGGACCGCGGTTGTATTCCGAAACTTACGCAGTTGTATTCAGAAACTTACGTTCGGGAACGTAACTTGGAAAACGTATATTCGGAAACTAATGAAACTATATAGGTTTCGAAAACTTTTTTCTCAGAAACTTACTGGCGAGTATTCGGAAACGCAAATTTCGAAGCTGTTTATTCGGCGTGAGAAACATTTTTTGTTCGGGAACTGATATCACAAGGATTCGATCCTTTTTTCTGAAACTGATGAAACAGTGTTTGAAAACTGATGGGCCAAACGGCTCTTCGGGAACTAGCCGTCAAAAACTTATCTATTAAAACTTATATAGGAACCAGTATTGGAAAACAAGTAATGGAAGGGATCTTTCCCACCCCCCATTCTGACTATGGCGACCTATCTCAAAATCCAACTTCGCATTTTCAGGTGTTATGGAGGATCTTGGCCCATCTTGGCCCATCTTGGCCCATCTTGGCCCATCTTGGCCCTCCAATTCATATGTTCCATTGTCGAAATTGTAGCTTTCATTTTTGACTCCCTAGGCGCTTCTAGCATTGTTTGGGGTAAAAATGTAAGGTTATGCAAGGTTGCAATTTCCAGAAAATGTCTGTAACGTTGCATGTTAGAAATTATCACGTGATATCTTAGGAAAAAAATCATGGATTTTTTCGAACCCAGTAAAAAAAAACGTGCTGAATATTAGCCTTAGCAAATTACATGAAATTTCTAGTGTCTGATGTGGCACAACGGGGGTCGGCTGATCTCCCATTTTTTCCACGATCTAAACGCCTCGTAGATGGTCGGCTGCCAGACGGAGAACCTGAAATCTGGTGAAATCTGGTGAAACTCAGCTCTGCGAACCCCCAGGAGCAACACCACCAGGTCTGATGTGGCTTTGGGTTTGCAGAACCTGCTATTTTAGCGGAAGCTTGATGGATGTTGATGTTGCGGTGGTTTCAATGATGTTTTGTGATACAACTGCTGGCATATCCAACTTGGGCACACCCTGGTTTAAAAAAAAAAAGTCTGGTGGGTACCCTGCCACTGAGATTGGGATGACTTCGAGAATGCCATGATTTACATCACCTGTGCTGGTGGCATGTTCCTCGTCATTCTAGGATGACCCCAAAAGGCAATGAATCACTTGAGCAAACAGGACATCTTTCTATGGGATCAACGACGCTATGTCAATCGCTGAATTGCATCGACCGACAGGTTCTACCACATGCCAAGTTTATATCAGTTTTCTCGGAAGGGAAACATGCCAGAAGCTCAACTCGTTGCTCCTCGTTTTTGATGCTGAACACTATTCGTCATATAACTTGTTCCATCGGGTTCCTCTATACTTCGACCTCAATCAGAATTTCCCAGCCGCCTCACGTTTGGTTTGTGGGGATTCCAGTTATGGCCGGTAAGTCCGCTGGGGCCGCAATTCCTGCCGCGGAACTTCGGGCAGTTCAAGCCATTTGGGAAAGGGCTCCCTCCAAAATGCCTATGCTTCTTGGGAAAATGATGATTGACGAGTAGATTCAGGGCTACATGCACTCTAATTTCAGACAAGCCCATTTAAAGCTATAGATTAGTTTTGTTTGATTTTCATTTAAAGCTATGTGTAGTAGTGAGTTTTCATTGTCTTTAGACATGCCAAAAATCGAGCCATCTTTGCTGCAGAGGTCCCATGTCCTGGGGAAACCCACAAACGCATCATCGCCATCGCCTTGGACAGGTCGCAAAAATGGTGCGCGGTTTTTTCAGCAGAAATTGGGCATGTCCCCAGTGTTGATTTCAGCAGCACTTCGGAATTCATTGGTTGAAGGCAATCTGGGAGAATTTCGACCGAAACTTCGGAGTTTCATTAGAGTTTCATACTCAAGAATGGCCAAAGATGGTGGCCAAACATGGTGGTTTTCTGATGTTTTCCGGACCCCAAAGTCTGATCCCCATGGAGTTGGTCAACGGATTGATACAGCCTGGTGAACACCAGTTGGGCTGCCAGCCCACGAGCGTCAACAAGAAAACACAACTTGCAGGCCATTCAAAGCAACCTTTCTAGTTCATGGTTTGAGGTCACAAAAAAGCCTTGAAATCATAAATGTCATAAATAAATTAAATAAACAACCCAGACATGGAAGGTTTGACCCCTGTTTTGGAGGATTTGGTATCATCCGGGTCTCAGGTGACACACATGGACCAGAAGAAATGAGAGTTAGACATAAAAAAGAAATCGATTCAACCAAAATAAGATAAGCAACATAAGTTGAAATATCCTGGAAATGGGCGAGAACGCTCCTGGTTTGTATCAATGATTCCTCCCATCCGTAAACCTGACATAAAATATCATAAGATCATGCAGAGCCATAGGCAGTGCCGTTTCCTTTGATGAAGGGGTGGGTCTGGCTTCCAACATCGGAAAAATCGGTCGAGCAAGCTGCAGAATGTCCAAGGATTCGTTCCGGTCAGAGCGTCACTCAGACCTCAAGAAAAACACTGAGAATGCTGGGATTGGGCCGAGCTTGCATTTGCAAAATCTGTGAAACAGAATACCAGCTGAAATATATTGAAATATGACATGCAATCTGATTTTCGGGGCTTGAGCATTGCCATTTTCTGCTGCATCTGTCCACCATTGAGGCATCAAACAACGAAGGTCCTCAATTAGGTACCCCAAAAGTTGACCGCAACTTTTAGCTCCATAGCCTCACATCAAAAACAACACTAGTATTCATGAATATTCACCCTAAAATCTGGTATTCCATAGCTTTTCATAGCTTTTCATAGCTTTTCATAGCTTTTGATCCCCATTTTGACTCATCCCCAGGTCTCTTTTTCGGACACCACCCAGGTACTGGAAAAGAGATCGAACTTGGTGTGGAAGCCATCGTCTCCTCGCCACTTCCAGGTCAAGTCCTTCAGGCCCAACGGCCGGAAAGTGCGGCAGAACCTTCCGACCTCCTTTTTCCCCCCCCAAAAAAAAGGATGGAAAAAAGGTCTCCTATCACTATCCTATCACTATTTGAGTAGGATTTTATTGGTCTAATCTTTATCGGATACCCCATTGTTAGACTAACCAAATATGGTATGGATCAACTTTGTGGTAGTACCAATGGACCCAGATCTAGCTGGTCTCTCTTAGTGAAATAAATCCCTCCATTTTGGGTAAAGCATCGAAAAAATCCTGTTGACCCATACCTCTATGACGAAGAATGCTGGATACAAGAATCACGAGGGTACAACCTGGAAATTGAGCAGATGGAAACCTAAGGTTCGGTTCCATGTTGGATTGAGCTGAGTACTGGTACCAACACAAAACGAAACATGTCTCAAGATCTTCGAAGCTTGGTCGAAGTACAAATTCGCAACTTTCCCAAGGCTCCTTTCAAGAAGTCATTCAGGGCTTGAGTGCCTAACCCCTTCCAGCCAGTCCTGATAGGCATTGTATGTGGTCAGATCATCATAGCGCTTCATGTACCTCGTGAAGGGACCATCCCAATTCGCCAACCATCACCGGGTCAGGTGGTTCAAGGGGTCCTGTGGATCAACTGGAAACCATCAGAGTGTAAATCATCTAACCTGAAAAGTAACCTGAAAAGTAACCTGCCAGATTGGGATATAGTCATCCTCATACAATTATAATGTGTTTTGTGCTTCATAACGTCCCAACCCACAATTTATGTTGGTTGAGTCCCATTAAAGAATGAAGCTAAACAATCTTAAACTGCATACATTAAAAAAAAAACAGAAAGAAACCTTTAGTGTTTGTTTTTTTTCCATAAAAACCTCCATGATTCATAACGTTCATAATATATGTTGTTTTTCCCCAAAAAGAAATTGGCCCAAGAAAACCCAGCCCTGCCACCGAGCGACACATCCTTGTGCGTATCCGCGCAGCCGTCGCCTTGGAGGTTTCATGGCACTGGTTGGTTGTTTGAACCATCTTGAACGATATGAGTTCGTCAATGGGAAGGATGACATCCCACATATGAAATGGAAAATAAAAGCCATGTTTGAAACCACCAACCAGGGCAAATCTCATACCTCTTCGGCATATGTCGGTGAAAAAAGTTAGACACGTCCTCGGCATATGCCAATCCAATCCCTTGGGAGATTTCGAATTCCACCCACATGGATTCCACTGGGTGTGGAGCAAAATTTCAGCTGGCACCCAAAAATTGCACCCTCGGACGCCATCATACACCGATTGATATGGAATGAAATTGGCTTTGTATATGAAGAAGAACAATGGCGCAAATACGCACAAATTTATATAAGTGTATAAACTGTTCAATTCTGCATATGTCTGCGTTCCCTAGACACTTGACACTTGAGACCTCAACTGCAAGAGTGTGTTTGTCCAAAAATGATGGATATCAAAAAATTGAAGAGGAAACTGATGGTTTATCATTGGATTTTGCGAGTTAAAATTATGAAACAAACCCATATGAAGCAGGGTTTGAAGCTACAGGTCCATCCCAAGTCCACTGCCCAAACCACCAATTTCAGAACACAAACCTACTCTTGGAGGGTGAAACTGAACTTGTACCACTCAAAAGTTGGATTGTTAGAGTTTCAGACCCAAACTGCCGACTTTGTGTTTTGATTTGGATTCCCCCTTTTTCGGGGGACCGTCTCGGACCGTGACAACTCCGTCGACTTCGAGACACACTCGCGGCGGATGATGCCGGAACCAGCGGCGCGGATTTTGCTGTTGAACTTGTACATGGCCTGACCAGAAAAACCGATGGACCATACCCCGTAACCCTGGATATCCATCGGTACCATATCCATCCATTTTGTAGCCCTACTTGCAAACCATGAAAAATGCTGGGCCATGAATCCCGAGTTTAAAATTGTCCCTTCTCCCTACTTACGATTGATACCTCCGCGAAAAGATTGTGAGTTTGGTCTTCATACCAGATTCATACCCCTATATTTTTGTTGCTGGTAGATGGGACCTGACAGCAGTGATTGGAGTATCCCTCTGAGTCAGAATTGAAATTCTAGCCTTCTTAAAAGTGCTAGGTAGCCAGGTAGCCCTAGCAGCAATTCGGGTACTTGAAACAAACCCATCGTCCTTTTTTTGCAAGAAGGGTAAATCATCATGGGGTTGACCGAACATGGTCGCCTTTTTGGTGAAGGTGAAATGGTGTTCGTTTCTTCAAAGGCCGGTTTTCTTCCGCATGTTATTTATGGTTGGGACCTCTGGAGATTTTACATCATATCATCTACCCTGCACCCTCTGGTAATTTGTGACATGGCTGGTTGAAAAATCCCCAACTGGAAATAAGATGATTTAGCTCATAATCATCCACAGAAATGAACCGTTTTCCTTTGCCAGGTTGAATTGCCAGGGTGTCTTTTCTTCATCTTCCATCCGTTTCCATCTCATTTAGGACGATGATCCAAAGTCATAAAGCCATCTAAGAAAACCCACATGTTCAAGGGTTTTTTTGGGGGGTCCAAAAGCAGCTTTCATGGCTTCCCCCTCCCCAAATCAAAACTGCAGAGGTGATCTATCGATGATGATGTCCACCATTTTCCACCACATTTCACGGTGCGAATTAATGCTGAATCCTCGACTTTGTTGCATAATTTGGTTGCTGATCTTTGTGTTATTTGTTGGATAAACCATATGTTCACTGAATATATCATATATATATATATAGATAGATCCTCATTTTCTTGCCGAAGTGCCAATGCGTTTCACTTGTTTAGCGTCCACCCACAGTTTCTTGACCTATTTTCCGCTGCACACCCCCGGCACCGGAGTAGGAGGTGGTGCTGTCGTGGTGGTTGTCGTGGTGGTCGTCGTGGTGGTGGTCTGCAGTGGGGGGGTCGGTATCCAGATGAAGATTATGTGGTCTATCTATGTCTATCTGGTCTCTGGATAATGCCCTCAGCTGGGAAAAGACTTCTTGCATCAAAAATAAGGGGAGCAAACCCATGGTGATCAGTTGCCGAGGTTGTTTCTCTGTTGACCCAGTGGGTAGCTGGGATTCTGGTCTTTCAATACTACCGCCTGCAGGAGGTGACTCAGTTCAAATAAACATCAACAAACCATCCAAATTGATATTAATTCTGTGGCTAAAGATTTATTGGTGATTAATTTCAATTGACATAGCCTCCTTGAAATGGGGAGATGTAACGGCCAACATCTAGGGGTAAACCAGGTCAAAACCATAAGGCACTACAGTAGATGATTTTGCCCAGACTGGGAATGTTGCGTCATCCCATCACAGCTTCAATCAGCAATCCTACAATGAACAACGTGACGTGACTCACCCCGCTTCAAACCCAAACTAATCTTAAAGATCCTGCAGAAGAAAATTATGTGCTGAGTAGGGGTAAATCCACTATTTTCATCTATTTTCTTGATCGTTCCCTTAATATTTCCCAAATATCCCATTAATTCCCCTTATATATCTTATAATATCTTATATATATATATTCATTCCAACACATAATATTCCAAGTTACTCATTCTAGTCCATCCATATTCCCATCGATTCCCAGATTGACCCAGAAATGCCGCCAACGCCACGCGTCGCCGACTGCGACGTCGCCGGGAGCGTCTGCGCCGGGAGCGTCTGCGGCGGCTGCGTCTGCGGCGGGCGCGGCGACGACGACGGCGGCTGCGGCGACGACGCGGCGAGACGCGGCGGCGGCGCCGCCAACCTGTCAACAGCGGGATGGACATGTAACAATGTAACCTTCGCATGGAGATCCATGACCTGTGTATATATAATGTACATATACTGTACATATAATGGGGATATAATAAGGGGATATCACCTCCCAACGGGTATGTAGAAGCAACAAATCATGGGAATATGGGAATATGGGCTTGTCTAAAACTATAGGATGTTTACCGACCATTCTATCGAGACAATCACTAACAGAGTGATCCCCACCCTGACACTTATTTGTCATAGTTTCTGACATATCATCCGGAAATATATATGGTATAATCTTCTGACATTCTATTCTGGCATTCTATCTGACATTCTATTCTGGCATTCTATCTGGCATCTATTCTGACATCCTATCTGGCATCCTTTGTGGCATCTATACTGACATATTCTCTGGCATTCTATCTGGCATTGTTTCTGCCATATGTTCTGGCATACGTTCTGGAATGCTATCTGTCATTCTATTCTGGCATTCTATCTGGCATCTATTCTGAGATTCTTTTCTGGCATTCTATCTGGTATATCTTCGGAGATTCTTTGTGGTTGAGGTCCGGCACTCTGATCCGGAGCTCACGGTTGAGGTCCGGCAGGTCTGGCGTAGGAAGGAGGAGGAAGGAGGAGGAAGGAGGAGGAAGGAGGCGGGCAGGCTGACATAAAATCCAACAACCCTCACCTGACAGGTGGGGAAAAAACACGGTTAGATAATTCATTTGTTGCAAGAAACAAACATAAAATTAGGCGAGTGTCAACCACTCTTGGACAAAACTAGGATGGCAGCTGATGAAAATTCGGCCAAGTAGATACGATGTATACCTAAAAGTCTAGGCTTTAAACATATTCAACCCCTGCACCAGGGCGAACACTATACACTATACCCCTGCTCGAAAAAGTCAATGTTCGTTGGATATGATATTCCAACTGCTGAAAAAAATGCCAAGAAACAACAGCTTATAGTATATTCATGTATATTCCACGATTCCATGCGAAAGTCCATCTCTTTCTCTCCATTCACCACGGGGATCCAAGGGGTAAAAACCCAAGCGTTCCCCCCAAAAAACCCGGCCCTTCGAAAGCCCAAAAAAGCCGCCTTGTACCGAAGTATCCGCCAGTCCCAGCGAGCCACCGGAACTTGCATCAAGACTCGACTCGTCCTGACGGCAGGGACCCTCATGTCTCAATGGATGGGAAAATCCAGGCTTGAAACCATGGTTTTTGACCAAAAAAATGTGAGACGTTCCTTTAAAAAAGTCCCTTCAACTGATTCTGCGAGGAAAGGGGAAAGTTTGTCAAAAACAATTCTAAAGCAGCAGCTTTAAGTGATTCAATGATCGTTATAAAACGGTTGATATATATATAATATAATATATATATATATGTGATAACTATATATATAGAATAAGGATTTTATATACCAGCATAAGGAGTTTGCACCAAGACAATGGTTGGTTCTGTGCATTCGCAAATATCATATTGGAAATATGTGGACTTCTTACCACTTGTTCTGCTTGACACAACCATGGCTGGAATCCCCCATTTCGGGCATTTCCTAAGTCCAATTTAATTCTCCCGGGGGCAAGATCTTTAGAGGGCGTTCTCCCAAAGAAAATGCCTTCAAATTCGCAATTATCGACGAGTTGGCAGCTTGCTACCCGGTTACCCTTCAGCAGCCACACCCCACCTCCTCTTGAAGGCTCTCATCATCATCATCATGATCTTGATGTGTCTCTTCCTGATCGAGAGCCTCCCCTTCTTTGGACTCCTCAAAAGCTTCTGACTTTTGAATGTTTGAAGAACCTAAAAATCTGAAAGAATACAGCAAAAAAACCGACGACCAGTGAGCATCCGACGTAGCAAATACAAAAAGGGTGAAATATAAGTGAAGGATCTAGCTATCATTAAGCGGGATGAGATCATTGGTAAGGTTTGTTTTCTTACTGGGCAATTTAGATAAGTGAAGTTGACTCCACAGTGTCGCTTTTGCAACTAGCACTACCTCCCCGGCATCGCGTACTCCAACAATGACATGTCCCACTATCGCATCAGATTGCCAGAGGTCACCACCTACAAACCTTCCGATTTCCATCCCATTGCGGACCCTGCTCCTGGTGGTCGTCCGTTTCCTCGTCCTCCTTCACCGCAGACCCTTCGGAACCTTCATGGTCCTCTTGATCCTCTGCGGATGCTTCGTGATCCTCCTGATCCTCCTCTGTGGAAGTCTCTTGATCCTGCCGACCATGGGTGGGACCTGCCTTCACGGCTGAAGATGATGGGAAAACACCATGCAATGGTTCGTAAAATCATTGTCCTACTGAAATTGCCATGAATAGGGCTATACACACAGTTTCAGACAGCCCCATGTGTGAAAGCCAAAGGAAACCAGGTCGTCATACAGATTTCGTAGCCAGGTTGGCGTCCCGCAGCCCACAGAGGGAGATGACTTCCAACCTATTTTCCTCATGAACCAACAATATTGCGTTGGTGTCTGCCTTGTTGGCTTGGGCAAAAAATCGACCTCGACTTGTCTTCCTGCATTTCTCATCTCTGTCTTAAAAAAAAAAACATGATGTTTCTCCCCAACTATCACGCCATATCACGCCCCAAATCTGCATGCCACACCTCCACTTCCCTTCTCAAAAACAACCAAGGGAAAATCCCACTGTTTTCAGGGGAAAAGAAGACTTGGAGGGATCAGAACTGCCCATACCATAGTCGTTTTCAGGTGCGATATACCACAAATGCTTACATCTCTTGCGCCGAAAATAGTCCCATAGTTGGATTTGTAGGTTTCATTCCCCAACTCACATGACGACCCTGCCATCCGTTGGAGGCCGGCAGAGATGTCCCCTGATTTCAATCCACTATTGAGGCTTAACTTGACTGATCACTGATAATCTTATGACACTTGTGACCCTCAATATCGAGTTATGTCCGCCCTCAAGATATTCGAGGATATTGAGAGTTCAGATACCTGAGGGCTACTGTGCTCAAGCAAGATTAGTATCATGATAAACCCAGATAATCCCAGATATACTTATATATAATTATACCCACAGACGCCGTGTGTTGCCCAGACATTAACGTTGAGAATGTCGTCCTGTCGAATATATGATAGGAAAGATTGCAGAAAATACTGCGTATACGCAGTGTTTTCCAGTTTAGGATTCAAAGTTTTCAGAGCCTAGGTTTTAGGGTTTAGGGTTTTAGGGTTTGGCGTTTTGGGGTTTGGGGTTTTAGGGTTTAGGATGGTTTAGGGTTTTAGGGTTTAGGGTTCGTCGTCTAGGAAATCTCAAAACACTGCCCTGCGCAGCTGTTTGAGCATGTTGAAGGATAATGTTTAAACATGTTTAAACGTCAATTGAACCTTCCGGGCAACACACCAGCGCCTGGCCGTAATTACATATATATATTATATTATATTATATTATATTATATTATATATATATTATATTACATTATATATATTATATATATATCCGGTCTCGATCATCCATCCACGAAATCCAACCTGAAATTTCCCACTGCCTCCATTTCCCACTCGCCATCTCCATCTTCCGAACTTCCGACATCCAGAGGCACGTCTTCCAGCTCGTCTTCCAACAAGGCAGCCTTGGTGCCAGCAAACAACGGAGGATTTGGCCATAAAAAAACTGGTGGTTCAACTCATCATTGAGGGAATCCGGGAGGAATATCATATCAGCAACAATATGACTTGGGGATACTTGGGGTCCCAAAAAGCTTGGGGACTGGGATTTTACATGTTTTTTGCATCCCAAATTGATTGTAAGTCGATTTCATAAGGGGATAACAATGCAATAGGGATGTTCGGATTTACCCCGAGGCATTGCGAGAAATAAACTCTGGAAAATCAACCAGTGGAATGGGGCACCCTATCCTGGATCTGCACGTGAGAATTCAGAACTTCAGCAACTGATTCTTGCGGGAGGGAAGGTTGGTGAAGATCAAAAGTTCACTCGTTCACAAGCCGGAAGGTTGTCACAGTTGTACCAGAAAGTTGCAGGGAACCATTGATCTTGTCGCCAACTATGCTGACATATGCTGACCATCCACATGTCATCTTGCCCTGAGGTTTCAAGAATCACCCCTGTAGCTGGCGTGGATGAAAATCTGACCTTCGCCCCCATGGCATCCTCACCAAGTAGCAGGCAAAGGGGCATAGGTCCCAGTGGCATAGATGAGATTCCACTGGCCCTGTGGCGCCTCACAAGCACCAAACATTGAGACACTGGGATGATTCCCTTGGTCAATCTACCAAAGGAACTTGAGTCTTCTGGACAATCGGCCATCTAATTTAGCTCGTGGTCAATCAGAAGATCCTCTCAAAACACTTAGGCCATTTTGAGGTCACTTTGACCAGAACTGGCTTTAGTGAGGTACCCATCAGATCTGAGGTGATGGTTGCCGTGTCACCACGGCGAAGCCAGTTTCATCCTAAGCCCTTTGGCACGAAGTACCGCATTCCATCCACTGGTGTATCATCCATTTTCCCTGTTGAATGATAAATTGTATGGTTCAACTTGGGGGGTTCCAAAAATAGGGAGACCCATGGAGACCCCCAAAATCATCCAAGTCATGGTCGACCATGACTGAGTGTTGAAACCGACCCCATGGGATTTCATCGGATGCCCCATGCCATCGACCAGCGTCCTGCGCGGCATTTCCGAAGATGATGTCCGTGGACGGCAAGGAAGCTTTCAGGCACATCTCCTCGCTACCTGCCGTGGAGATCAACCCGCCATGGCGTTTTTTTTACATGCTATTCATGTGGTCCAATGCCACAATTTTCATCCCATTCGCCATGGCATGATGATATGATGGACATCTCAAGGATTTGGCTGGTAAAGCTTTAGTGGGGATGGTTTATGATTGGGTTTACCACACAATTGGGACATTCCTTGCAGGTTTGAGACAAAGATAGACATTCCGCCAAGATAGAAGCCTTGGGACCCAGGGCTTGGACCACTGAAAAAAACCACGTCATCCCCACCGCAGAACCGACCTTTCAACTCAAAGTAGCCCATCTTCTCATCAATGAAGTCGGTATCCTCAGCGCTCACCATTGGCTCACCATGAGTCGTGAAGGCAAAAAATCATCAAAAATCAAGCCCTACCCGGGCCCGTCAGCTGGCTAAAAAAGCCAAGCTGCAGGAGACGCGAGTTGCACCAACCAATTGCCCTCGCCGCAGGTCGACAAAGAGCCCTTGGGAACCGTGGCCAGATACCTGGCCGCGCTAAGGGGCCGTGTCGAGTCGTGGAAACCACGGAAAATTCATGGGAGAAAAATGGAAAATCCATGGCTTCCTGCAAAACTTCGACCAAATCCAGCAATTCTTGGACCAAAGTTTGGCAGCATCGGCAGGTTTTTGGACCAAGAAAATTCAAGAGTTAATTTGCTTAACTTATTGGAACTGCTTGGTATCTGATATAATCGGAAAATCTGGACTCTTGACCCAATCTTCAGAAGCCCAGATATCACTGTCGCAGGTCCCCATTATTTCCACCATTGTTTGATGGTTCCAAATGATCTTCCCATCATTTTTGGTTCCAAGATCCAACTGCTTCCATGGACGAGGGACAAGACCTCCTCGGGAATGGAGCTGCTTTTGCGGTACACAGGTCCACCACGCGCAAAGTCGTAGGCCACAGGGCAATAGTCGCCTGGGAGAAGTGCAAATCAAAAAATGAAGAGATTTCCATCCTAAGCTTTTGAAAAAAAAAAATGTATCTGGGCCAAAAAAAATGCCAATTCTGTTTTTCGTGAGTCGTCCTAAAAAGAGTATTCTCGCCATGCCGCCGGGGAGAGTTTTAGGTGTCCGAAACTCAAGGGATGCCGTCGGCTGAGATACTCAAAAATTTCCTGACTTAAGGACTGCTGTTATGCTACCCTCTGGTAAATCATCATTTTTAATGGGAAAATCCACTATAAATGGCCATTTTCAATAGCTATGCTAAATTACCAAAGGGTAATCAATATCCAACATTGAGCATTCCACGTCGACGCTGAGATCAACCCCTGTCCAAATGTCCAAATGGCCCTGTGGCCCTGCCTGAAATGACCCACCGAGAATGCTTCAAGCGAATGCAGGTGTTCAGGTCGGAACAGTCAGTCACCTGCCATCATGGCCATCATCTTTGACCTTTTTCTGACTTGAAGCCCACCTTTCCAGCATCCCCAAAACTCCAAAACCAAACAAAAACAGAACAGGACTGACCTCTGACATCAGCAAAATCGGGGAAGAAAATCCACATCTTTCCCACCATTGTCCTATCAAAACATCCAAGGATTTCTATACCGATTGGCACCTTGGCAGTGGCTGTCACTGGAGCGCCACCTTCGGTGTCCATGCGGTACCTGGGTCCCAAGGCAGATGTGCCAGTGCATCAAACACGGTCAGCCACAGCCTGGCTGTTCAATGGGAAATTGCATAGACCCAAATATTTCATATGCAGTCCCTGAGTACACAGTTTGCATATTTCCAATATCTGTATGGAGTTCTTGTCCTCGACAGTGCATGTTTGGAGTAAACCTAAATTCTGTTCCCGAAGCGTGCGTGCGTGTGCTCTATCAAATGCTAGAATTGTGTGCGTCTACCCCACCAAAACCTCTGAAACCTAGCCTTTGATGATTCTATGATTGCAAGAGGCATTATGTCAAAATGTGGAACCCCATTCCAGCCTCTGGGTCAAACATGATCTTGTTGGTTCTATAAGTTCTATATCATGATATTCCTATTCCCATCATATTCCCAGAAAATCTTCGGTTTACATCATATTCCCATCATATTCCCATCATATTCCCATCATACTCCCATATATTCCCAGTGGCATCTTGCAAGGTCCTTGGTCATCTTTGTTCGCATCGTGCTTGTAGTGGGAGCAGGTCTTCAAGCCGCGACAAAGGTTCCTGCACCCAACTAGGCTTGCTCCAGAAAAATCTGGGGATTTGATCAGATTTTATGGGGGTCTCAATGGATGTTAATAGATCTTGATTGTTGTCTTAAATTGGCCATTGAAGTCAATGGTTTCTTAAAATTGGGGACTTTAAAATAAGTGTTTCCTTATTGTAAATGCCTAGTATTGGATGTTTTTGGGTCACCCCCATTTTAAGAAACCCCGGAGCGGCACGCATATCCTTGCACAAAAAAGGATATGGATTCTATGGATCAAATCGAAAGCTTGTTCCCCTATGTTCCCCTCCCCCTCACATCAAACAAAACTGTTTTAGCTGGATGTTCATTCCCCCATCTATGCCGAGAATTAGGATTTCAAGGATTCCCAGCAATAATCCATCGCCAAATCTGTGTTTAACCCATCGCCCGATAGCCACTCATGACAAAACATACTGTTACCCAATAGAATGTGCTAACCACAATATCATAAACCATGGACTATTCACCCAGTTTTACCATTCGGTATCGTACACCACACCCAACAAAAAATCGAACCGGGAATTCACCACATATTTCTGGAATCTTCACATCAAATTAGAATAAGGCGCTCCGAAATTGATGGTTTAAAACCTCATTTTCCCTAAATTGCCATAAATTGCAAGAAAAAGTTTTCGGACAGACCCAAATCACATTGTTGTTTACTGTCAGCCTATCCCATGAATATCGTGGTAGTATCCCGTGAAGCCTCATGTGTCTAATGGTCGGTTGGTTGTCGAGTCCCAATTTTTGCGATTGAAATTTGAAATCCGACAGTTTTTTGATTGTTAAATCTACATGTGTGTTGGAAAAAAACTGTGTCTGATGGTTTGAAACCAAAGTTCCCATAACTTGGGTAAAAATAAACATCACATCGTGGATTATATCCCAATGTGGATGTTTGTTTATTTTGGGGTTGGTTTAAGAGTTGTTTCCCCCATTTCTGCTTCAATTATAGGTTATCCCATTTATATCCCATTGCAAATGATCATAATTTCTATCCATCTCTATCCCATTTATCTTAGATCATTACAGCTTATACACATATATCAATTATACATATATCATCCCATCTAATGTGGGTCATAAACCATCCATGGTCGGAATGGTACCCTCTGGTAAACATACAAAAAACTATTTTTTAAATCACCATGTTTCATGGGAAAATCCACTATTTCTATAGCCATTTTCAATAGCTTTTTTGACTGTTAGTCATTACCAGCGGGTAACCTTTTTTATACCACCTATGATTTATGGTGGGGTCGTCCCGTTGGAACCTGCAGCTGGCCGCGTTCTGGGCCGTCTGCGTGGCCACCACCGTGCCACGGAACTTCTCTTGGACCCAGCACCTAAAGGGCGTGCCGGTGCCCAACAACACCGTGACGTGCCGTGAATGGGATGACCATCTCATGGGTTTTTACCCGGCCTGGTAAACATACAAAAAACTATGGAAAGATCCACCATGTTTAATGGGAAAACTCACTATTTCTATGGCCATGTTCAATAGCTAACTGTTAGTCATTACCAGAGGGTAAACCTCATTACACCCCAAAAACACCCCAAAAAAAAATGGTGATTTCACAAGAAGACATGGAACATTGGACTACAATAAGGATTCAAGAAAAACAAGAACGGTGGCTTTCATGGGATACAATGGCAATATCTGGATGGTATACCCACTTTAGTAGTTTAACACTTTGCAATGGAATATCACCAGTGTTAAATCATTTATGAATGGGTCATCTTCCATCATGCAATGTGAAAATGTACCCGAGGTTGCTTCAGCATCAACAATACGGATTCAACCGTCCGAAATTGGGATGCCAATTTGCTGTTTTTTCAACGGAATATTTTTTCCCGGAAATGATGATTTGTGATTTCGGGATGTTCCCTTGTGATTGTTTCTGGCTATCTAATACATGTGCTTCCATAGTTTGTTCTATAATGTTCTATCTATTCCACGATTGTGTTGCTTTAATGGATCATACTTTGCATTGGCGAAATGTGTGATTTCATCTTTCTGAAGCGGGGAAAGGGTCCTGGCACAACTCTGGTTGGCAACGTTAAGTTTCTGCGTAGATTGAGTTTGGTTACTACCAATCCTTGAACACAACTGCCGAATCCAAATACACAACCTGTGAAATTGGCCACCCACACAGATATTCCAAGTACAGATCACAGTGGGTCTGGTTCAAGAATGATCCCCCTTTTCATGAATGGTTCAATACTAAGAAGAGCCATGGCTGTACATCCACTGGTATACCCCACTTGGCCTATACCAAGGTGTCTTTCCAGCCCCCAGGATGGTCCATTCCAACGACAGGCACATGCTGTCTTTGATCTTGACCACCAGAGAGGTATACCTTGGACCCGCGCAGGCTACGCAGGCTACGCCGCTACGCTAAGCTGGACTGAACTCACCATTTTAAGGTGTGGAACCGACAAGAAAATCACGGGGGTTCTGTGTTCCTATCAAATCTCCGCGCCACACAGGAATGGAGATTCAAAAATGTTGCTTGCTTGAATCAAAGCAAAAAAAACTGACCAGGGATATCAATTTGGAACAACATCCGATCAAATGCTAGCTACTTCAAATGAAGATAGTGGGCCGGCACTCATCCCCTGAAAAAAAAAAACGCTTGGTTTGTGAGCGGGAAGTCGTCCTTTCCGGAGCAACCCAATACTAGCGGTGGAATACTCTTCATCGTCATCACCACCAACAACCACCATCATCATTCCTAGCTATCATGATTTCTTCCAACAGTATTCATATATTTGGATAAAATATATGATTCACTAACCTGACCAAACAAAATGGAAAGGTCATTTACCACAGTCTGAATGGGTTTTCACTTTTCTTTTTCGGGTGGTTACTCTCTCTCTCTCTATGCACGTATATATATATACATAATACCATATTATCATATTATGTATACATATATATATATATATCATATCATATTATATATATATATACAGTAAACTGATAAATACATGTGTATATATATATAGAGAGAGATACGGCTAAGAATCAGCATCATAAGCATGGCATGGCCCCACCCCATGGTTGCCCAGCGGCAGTGGCGGGAAGGGGGTTCCAGGGAAGGTACCCCACACACCGCACCTGCGGTTTTGGAGAGTAGTGCGGAGCGTAATGTGGTAAGCCGAATGCCATAAGGGCCAAAACCCCGTGAATTTGGGGTATGGTTATGAAATGTTATAAATATTCCCTAAACAGTCAAATTTTGAGTAAACGGGCGATGGGGCAATTGAATTGGGGTTACAACAGTGAATTCACATTGACCCCAAAATGTCTCCAGTTTTCAGACCCGAAAAGTCCGAAAAGATCCCTTCCGAACCAGCGGGTTACCTGGGAATATGATGATTCACCAGTGGATTTAGCTGGTTTTACCATGGTTTTCCACCAATTTTTCAGACAAAGCCATATATCATATGATCATAAGGTTTGAGATCAGATGTTGCTTTATTTCCCCTATTTTCCCATATGGTTCCCATATGTTTCCCACATTTTCCTATATTTCCCATGTGTTTTCCCATGTTCCCAACAGTTCAGTTTGATCCACGAGGCCTCACCAGGAGGGACTTGCGCTTCAGCACCTCGGCATCCACGTCGTCGAAGATCTTCGCCATGGACTCCTCAGTGGGAGATCACCGACAGTATAGTTAAGATAGGATCACATAGGACATAGGATAAGATAGGATAGAAGAGAATGCAATAGAATTATAATAGAAATAGAAATAGAATAGAATAGAACAGGATAGGAAATGGATAGGATAGGATAGAATAGGTTACAATTGATTAGAATCGATTAGAATAGTGTCGAATATATAGATTGGAATAGTTTCGAATCGATCAGCATAGATTAGATAGATTAGATAGATTAGACATGATAACCGTTGTGATGCGGGGTAAAAAACAACTATTCTTCAGTACTCGGTAAACCTTGGATCGACCTCTGGGAAACCATGGGAAAATCCACAGTCAGTGCTATAAATGTCATGTTTCAACTATGTTCAACTGGTTCATCCAAATCCCCGGTGATTTTGTTCGTAGCTATGGAAGGAAAATCACCATTTTTGATGTTTTGAAAAATCATCATGTTTATATATATATATATGTTTATCATCTATAAATCTATGGGCGGTTTTCCATGTTTCTATGTTCAATAACCATTGCGGATCCCCTCTGGTTCACCATTCAATTCCGGTGCCGGCCGAGCATCCGCAGGGGCAACGATGATGCTGCCATGCTGATCCACTTCCTGCTCCAGGAACGCATTCTGACGTTGAACGAAGAGTTGATCTCTGTCTAATCTCAGTTTCTCCAGATTTATCAATAGTCCCTTTTTTAAAAAAAAGTGGGGCTAACCACTTGCGACCACCACACTCCAGATTTCCCATGAATATGAACATGATCAGCCTGATGTAGAATCCCATGCCATGAGAAAAACCTGTCCAACAAGGCTACCCCTTGGGCCAAGGCTCGAAGATGTGGTGGCTCCCCAGCAGCCCCATATTGATCAAACTGTCGAAGTGGTAGTGTGGATTCGTGACACCGTTGTAGCTCTCCGCTTCCACCCGACAGGCCCTGTGGACTCGGGGCGAGAAGCGTAGCTTTCTGGGACTTTTTGTCCCTGTTCTCAAAGGGGTACCCAACACCAAATTGCCCAAAATGCGGTATTTCTGGGTGTTTCACATTGGTGATTTTAAGGGGATTGCCTGATGGTTAAACGATCAAACATCCTACAATGGAGGTAAAACCACCCTGTTTGTTGGTTGATATATATGTGAAAATCACCTTTTTCGCTGCGATGTTCGGCATTGCTCAAGGGGGAACACCATCACTGGGCAGATGCTTGCCACTATAATGAAGGAGATTTATTTAAAGCAGATCAGAACTTCTGTTTGTTCATAGGTTTAAACCAACAAAAATGGGAATGGAAACCAGCAAATATAGTGATGCAAATCTAGCGAACACATAAGGTTCAATCAACAAGACTGGAGAAGCAAGAAACCTTGGGGGGACACCTGTGTACGTTCACGCTAAGATATTTTCAAGCCATGTTGGGACAGGAACAAGGGCCATCTGTCTATAGAAATAGCTTCCTGGAAATCTCGATGTACCCACCTGAAAGCTTGCAGTTGGCATGAGTACATACAGGTCGTGTAACCCCGAGTACCAGGTACCCTGAATCTTCCATGCCAATCTGTTCACTGAACTGTATTGAAATTGACATGGGCACCGGTCAAATTCAAAAACCCCATGACCCTCTGAAGCTACAACCCCTGTCCCGCAAATTTCAGAAGCAACAATTTTTGAGGTGCATCAAAGTTAATCCACAAAGAAATCTGCCTATCTAAACCCTTGGTTCACATCACCATCGCCCACGACGGCCGGGAAGCAGATGGATTTGGCTGGGTTTCAATCCGCCCATGCCCTCTTCATAACCTGGACACGGCTTCATCCCCACTCGGATCTGCAGCTAAGGCCACTGTGAATCACGCCGGTTTCACCCTCGTTCTCCAGCTCAAAACCCCACCCCAGGTACTAAAAATCAGATAGCTACTTTTCATGGATGTGTACCCTCTGGTAATTTAACATAGCTATTGAAAATGGTGATTTATAGTGGATTTACCCATTGAAAATAGTGATTTTCCATAGCTATGTTAGTTTACCAGAGGGTATTCACCAATTCATATGGCTCAAATTCACAGCTTTTGACCCAGCTTTTGACCCATCCCCAAAACGGTTTTGCCGCACCTGGGGGTGTCTTCAGCTTGATGGGCGGCAGTTCTTCACCCGTCACCACCTCGACGTAGCTGTTCTCGTACTCCATCTGTGGCCAGGGCCGGGGCCTGGCCATGGCTGGGCAGTGGGGATACGGAGAAAACAATATATGTATATACACATAAAATTCATACACACACACACGTGTATATATATATATTATATATATAATTATATATATGTGTGTATACAAATATATAATAAAATATATATGCGTAGATACATGGTGATAGAATGGAAATATATCCTGGAGATATGACATATGTGATATATACAGTAGGTTGCATCCATGTTCTAAAATCAAACTGGAGATTCAACTTGAACATCAACAACTAGATAAGATGGCTTGGGACTCTCTGGATGGGTAAAGCCAAAACGCCATTGTCCAAAAATGGTGAATTTGCCTCCAAAAGGTAAGGCAAATTCAAAGGGAAGGATACTGAAACTATGGGATTTGGGGTGCAATATTTTCATAACCGCCTAGATATGAGGCAGATACGACCACGCAAGGGGGTCAAACCTAATTAAACGGTGATAGTGGTAAAATCACCAGCAGAACTTTTGCCATGTGTCCTGAATGTTAGCAATGTTAGCATGTGATCAGGTCAAAAGACTGACTCCAAGTCTTCTCAAAGGCTGTGGTGCCCCTGGGCTTAGAAACTCCAAGACTGTCTATGTGAATGTGCATTGGAAGGTCAGACCCTACAATCATGTTTCTCCCATTCAAACTTTGTACACCATTGCAAGAATTCCCCATGAAATGTGGGTCAATGGGAGCAATCAAACCACCGCTACCTATGAGAACTGACCCCAGTCAAGTAGGCCCTGGTCAAGCAAGAGTTGTAGCCACTCTTATGTGGCTATACATGTCTAGAAATACAGTACACCGTACACCACAAAGTTTCATCATTTTTTAGAACTCTCAATTTTCCAATCCCCAATAATCATCCTATGTTTTTTTACTAGTATCCCCCATTCTTCAAACCGATAAGATATCCATCGGCAGCTCGCTGCCCCCCTGCGACCCGCCTGATCGCCACAAAGTTCGACAAGCGCCTCTCACGTCGCTCCTCGCCAGGTGTGCCTAACAGGCGACGCGAAAGGAGTGGATCCAGCGTGGGGTGATCCGTGAAGTTGGTAACGAGGTTCTGATGATTTGCCCAGAGATTTCTTGATGTTCGCATTCTCACTTTTGGTCATATTAATGTTTTTTGTGGCTGAAACATGCTGAAACCTCATTTGCGTTGGAGGAAATCCCCCTGTGTTGGTTTAATTCCCACAAATTGTTGATTTAAATGCCAATTTTGGTTGAAGAAACCGTTTTCTTTGTGTCGGTGGGATCTCAAAATACTTGTTGGATAAGACCAGCATTTTGGTTCATTTGACTCCCAAAATTATTACGTAAATTCCAGGCTGTCCAACTCTCCAGCTTGTTGATCAAGAAGACAATCAATTCATATCAATTCTATAATTCTATACCTCCCCCAGTTTTCTTTTCATTTTACAGTAAGGTGTTCATATGATACATATGTTCCAATCCTTTTGGTGGGGCATGGCCACCATGGTACCCCAAAAATCCATGGCCCAATCCATGGCCCAAACCTCCACATCCCCCCGCCTACCAATTGGATGGCTGAGGCCTGGCACAAGGCTCCGTCCATGCCCAGGGAGTCGTCGACTTCCGTGACGGCTCCTGCACACCGGGGCACACCGGGACCCGGAAAAACCATGGCAATCCATGGGGAATCCATGGGGAATCCCCAATCCCGCCCTACCGGGCCGCCCAATCCCGGGCCTCCCGTGCCGTTTCCATCGGCGGTGAGCGCGCCCGTGGCAATCTTCTGCACTAGCCAGGGAGCTTCAGGAGTGCAGACCTCGGCTAGGCTCGGAAAAAGAACAAGGCTTGGTGACGGCTTGGTGTAGGATGTTTGACTGGATTCGCTTTCCCTAAAATTGGTTTAGGGACAGGACATACTTTCTTTGCAAAGAGTAAACTAGTTTGGTTTCCGTGATTTTTTCCTTCTTCATTTGAGAAACTACGAAGTCCAACTTCCTTAACTTTTTCCATTTTGCTGCGCGCGCCTGGAACGATGATCATCTTTACGATGATCATCTTTGGCGATGTTGTAGCTTTGGCGATGTTTTTGTTGTGTTTTTGTAACTAACCCATGAAATCCGCCCACACCGCTTTGGCGGTGAAGGCGTGCTTATTGGGGGGCAAAACAGCAACACTAAATGCTCAATGACATTTGTTAATATAGCAGTCGCTATATCAGCTTTAGCTGGGGGGGGGAGCCCCAAAAACGGTTTCGCACCGAGACCAGAATACGGTGGTGTTTTCGACATTTTTCGAGGATTTTTGGGTGTCTGAGCGCAAGAGGGTATTGAAATGGAATTTTGGGTCATTTTGGTAGCTTTCTGGCAATGGAAAAACGGCCAAAAATGAAAAAAAACATTGTACATAGCAAGATTTTGCAGGGTTTTTGGATGCCAGAGCATTGAAAACACTGCAAAAACAAGTGTTTTGGACTGACGTTATAGCAAAAAACGTGTAAATTACCGTATGCTTGACTGGAAACATTACAAAAACACTGTCAAAAGCAATGTTTTGGAAGGATTTGCTGCCTTTATGGCAAAAAACGTGTAAATTACCGTCTGTTTGACTGGAAACATTGGAAAAACACTGTCAAAAACAATGTTTTGGAAGGATTTCTTATATATATGTTGGAGTTGGCTACCGGCATTGGAACATGGAAAAATTGAAGAAAACACTGCAAATAGCGGTATTTTCAACGGTTGGGGAGATAAGGGAATTGGAAGCATTGTCGAACATGATGTTTTCGACCGGTTTTATGGCGACAAAAGTGTAAAGTACCGTGCTTTGAAGGAAACCATTGCAAAAACATGGAAACACATTCAAAGAACACGGGATTTGGGGGACTATCTAGGCGTCGTTGTCTAGCTATTTGAAATTCCGCAGCTTGGAGAGCCTCCAAGGGAGGGAAAAGTGAAAATTCCATAGCTTGGGAAGCTGTCACGGCGGGGAAAAGTGAAAATTCCCTAGCTTGGGGAGCCCCCACGGGGGGGAAAAGTGAAAATTCCCTAGCTTGGGGAGCCCCCACGGGGGGGAAAAGTGAAAATTCCCTAGCTTGGGGAGCCCCCACGGGGGGGAAAAGTGAAAATTCCCTAGCTTGGGGAGCCCCCAAAAGTGAAAATTCCCTAGCTTGGGGAGCCCCCACGGGGGGGAAAAGTGAAAATTCCCTAGCTTGGGGAGCCCCCACGGGGGGGAAAAGTGAAAATTCCCTAGCTTGGGGAGCCCCCACGGGGGGGGGAAAGTTAAAATTCTTAGCTTGGGGAGCCCCCACGGGGGGAAACCACCCTTAGCCCCTCTCACGGACCTAAATAAACCTGCGGTGTGGGCGGCCACCCCACGCGAAGCGGGGTGAATAGTTGAAGTTCCCCTAAATTCAAGAAATGATCCGCGGATTTTGTTGATGTTTTTTCTGGATCTCCCAAAAAGAGGCTATGGTACCCTGACCCTGCTACCCTTTGCCAAAAAGTATATAGATTCATACAGGCTTTGATTCCCCCAATATTAAACAATCTGCAGGCTGCAGGTATTGAAAACAATTGAACGAGGTTAAACAATGCTGCAAAAGTTGTTCCCATGATATTCACTTGTTTAATGGAAACTCCTTTCACGAATGGTTGGTGATGAAAACGGTTGGGGTTTCCCCATTAAACATCACAACTCCGCACTAGGTGGTGCCCCCCAGTGAAATGCTTCTGCTTCTTGGTTTAGTTTCACCCTAGGAATACCAGTTCAATATATCTACCATACATTGAGTTAAGCATAGTTACCCTTTGGTGAACCAACATAGCCATGAAAAATCACATTTTTTTGCAAGCCAAATCATCTAAAAATTGGCCATTTTCTAGAGGTACGTTGCTTTACCGGAGGGTAACCTACCTTTTCGCAACCAACTTTTTCCCCAAACAGCGATCTCCAAGGCACCATGCCATACTCCTGCCAGGTGCCTTGATCCGTCTCCGGCGAAAAGCCCACGGTGCTCGGGGAGAAGACCAAGACCGAGGCGCCGTAGGTGAACCAATCGACGTTCACCGCCACCTTCACCGTTTCGCTCAACCCGGCCGCTTGGTGCGCCGTGACTTCGCAGGCCACGCCAAAGGGCTTCTGGGGAGGGTCCTCCGGCGCAAGGAAGATGGATCATGGATGATCATGGATGATCAGATAAGAGTAAGCCAAAAAAAATGAATCTGACTGATTGGATGTGACTCATTGGCTCATTGATAGCCCTGGGTGCTCATTGATCGCCTCCCTTTCCATGGATTCATCCAGCAGGACAACCTCTTCAAAAAAGATCCAAAAAGCACTAGAGCACTGAGGGTTGCCAATGTTGCCACAGGATGCTATGGAAGCAAAATTGTGATTTTCCAGGTCTAACCGGTCTAACCTCCGAAAGGGGACCATTTCAGCACTAAAACTGAGGAGATTCCCCGAACCTTGCCAGGAGCATAGCTGATGTGTCCGGTGCTGCCATTCATGGTGATGTTGTGAGCTGAAAACTCGCAGGCAGAGTTCACGGAATATCCTTGGCCAACTGCAATCGGGCAGCCTCTGAAAAAATGCGGGTACCTGTCTGGACACACAAATGATTGGTTTTGAAATGGCTGGTTGTTTCCAGCATTTTATCATCCAGGTTAACACTCTTCAGCCAATTCCACTAGAACGTCACGAAACTGCACATTTGAAAAATGATTTTCCGGGCAGTGGCAATGGATTCTGGGGTTCCAGCACCGATGGACCTGGGAATTTTATCAGTTCTGATAATTCTATTGTAAACCATCCGTTTCGACGGGTGGATAGATACAATATTGTCCTGTTGTGAACAAATTGAAAGGGCGGTTTGGTATACAATTTATTCTCATCTACTTCGTTGAATTGGGAGAGCCTTCAATTCATCAACCAGTGCAAAAGGGACATTAATCAATCAACCAATATGAACTCCCATGATCAATCATATGGTAATTTATGTCTATCATCATCAACCAACAATCAACCCTAAGGTATCTTATGGCTAGATATGTTTTGACCCATTCTCACATTCACCAACCAAACCCAGTTTCGCGTTGCGGTGCGCGGCAGCGGAACCATATCAATATCCCCCCCCACGGCGTAGCGCTTGTCGGCATATTGGAAGGGCGTGGCCAGCCTCGGGCGTTGGATCTGAGGTAACCACCCTGAACTGGCTTATTGAAGTTATATACAATATTAATGTAGAATGGGTGACCCATACCACTCCGTTATGGCAGATCAAAAAATGATCGTTAGAAGTTATATATCATATGGAAGACTGTAGCTCTGGGGTTGGATTGGAACTTTCAGAGCAGATGAAACCACCAACCAGCTGAGCATGTTGCAGCAGATTAGCGACAAAGTGAAGAGTTGGTATGGCCTATGCTGCTCAGCATCAAAAGGGTCACGAAAGAGTATTGTAAAACTGATTGTTTCAATAATTGGGTGTACACATTGATTTGGGAACCAGAATGGAATCTCGTTTTTTTGAAAATGACACACGCAGTTTGACGTGTTTTTTCATGTATTGCATGTTTCTGATGCTCCCTGCCAGTTTCTGGTCTCTCATCCCAATCTGCCCTCTGGCAATTAAACATGGCTGACTGGTAAATCCCCAGTTTGATTCACTTTTGACAAAATTCACGGGACACTCCAAAAATGGCGATATGAGTACCCCAAAATAGATCAAAATAGTGGGTTCTAATAAGGAAAATGATGGTAAACAACCAGGTCCCATATCATCGCCTGTTCTCATGTGCCGAGACACTTCTTGCCTCCGCCGCATTTGCAGCACGCCTGCTTGCTGCTCTCTCCATTCACTGGACGATCATTGCACATGGCGCCGCTCAACTGGGCGAGAGCGGGGGTGATGCACCTAGAAGGGAAAAAGGAGGTCCCTCGTATATCCCCTCGCAATGATTCAACATGCATTCCAAATGTTCCAATGTAGATCAATGTAGTATAAATTATATACAACATATATATATATATATACATATATATATTATAATATATATATATATGTATATTATATTATATATATATATGTATATTATATTATATATATACATGTATTGAGGGGCCAAGACTCAATCATCGTCTTCTCGATCACACAAAATCAAACTGCTAATGGTCAAGCTATCACAATCCAGCCACCTACAGGCTCACTTCAGAGCCTCCGATTGATTTGATCCAGCACTACTCCCAGATAAGAAGCTAGAGGACTGGACAGGCTCTGGCTGTTTTGATTGATTCTCCAAATCAATTTGATCAACCATCATTTTTTAATCCGCATGTTATCATAAGAAGACTATCAGAAAATGTATAAATGCTTTTCGGGACGCGAAGCCCCAATGTTTCTGAGTACACAACATTTTGCTGCTAGAAAGCAGAAGTTCTTAGTCTTAGGATCAGATTCACATCCCCTTGATTCACTCACCCATATCTTGTTAAATCCCCCCAATATTTTCTCGCGTAAATCTGAATATGTTCGCTCCATGTTTGGTTGTCGCTTGTTGAAACATCGAGAAAAAAAAACATATCTTTGTTGGTCAACATCCCTCCAGTCAGACTAGCCAGTCTTTCCTCGCCAAGAAACACTGTCGCAGGTGGCACCTTCCTTGGTGACCCAGCCCACTGTGTCTTCGCACGCCACACCTCAAAGAAGTGTCGGGAAAAACCAAAAGGATTGGATCAGATTGGATCAACCCAAAATTCCCGGAGCCAATTTTCCTGGCCAAGCTGAAAGAATATCGCTTTTGAAAACTTCTTGCTGAGCTTGGTATATGAAAGAAGGGCGAAATACACCGACACCCTGCACCTCTCTTGTCCGGTGGAGTTCTGAGATCTATCATCCCACTTGTGATCAGGAGATGTCGTGCCACTCACAATACTTGCTTCTTGGCCATGCTGGACATGCATTTCTTCACATCCCAACTTGTTGCAAAGGCATCTGCAAGTAGAACTGCGCTCATTTCATTTCTGAAGCTTCCCTCAAATCCCCTTGTAGGTCATAGCCTAATATTTAGCCTTTTTTGCTTCATCATACCATTTTTTGCCATTGGGTCCCAAAAATCGCCATCACTGGGGGTCATCAAAACCATCAGTCCCTTCACAGCTCGATGCCGGGCACAGAGGCCATCCTGCATGATGTATCCACCCTGACACTTCTTGCAGGACTCCGCCACCGTGTCATACATGGCCTGGCGGGTAACTGGGCCCCGGTGCACCGTGCGGTGTCACCACGTGGTGTCACCAGTGTGAACACCTACATTTAGTAGCTCCCGAGCTACGGTGATCTCAGTAGCTATCACTTCACCAGTGTGATATCAGTGTTTCACTGATATACCTGATATCACAATGATGCTGTCTATGTCTATAGTATCTATAGATATCTATAGTACTATGGAGTTGACAAGAGTATAGAAATGTCATATCTTAACATTCAATCGCCTCGATAACCCTCGATTCACCCTCTCATCAAGTCAACGGACTCCAAACCACCAATGGCTGGATATATGGCTGGAGATAGAAAACCTAGGCTCAAAAGGCTCAAAATGACATGGAAAAATGATGGAAAAATGAACCGGCCATTGGTGGTTTTCAAATCTGACCCTGCAACTTGACCCACTTGGCTGCCGGACGCAACCGGCACACTTGATGCTGTCAGATGGGCAGCAGCTGGTATTCTTGGTGGTCACACCATATTCCACCTGAAAGCTGAAGGTATCTGGGGGTGGGTCAAAAGTGACCCTAAGAATGGATTTATAAACATGTTGCAGTGCCAAAACAAAGATGAGTTGGGGACTCTTGTCGATGTTGTCAATCTTGAAAAGGACCCACAGTTGTTTCGGGGGTCCTATAATTTTGACATATTTATTTAGACTATAAACCCAAATTGACAAGCGTTCTTCCTCCCCAAATCAGTATGTGTAAGGTAGAGGACCAGTTGCCCTATGGGTGTGGCCGTAGCTTCCAAAGTCTGTTGCAGACCTTACCAATGTGTCTGTGCAGGTTCGACTCCTCCCTGGTCAGCTCATTTGTGTCATTGGGGTGATTGTAGTTGCTAGACTGTCTCCGGTGAAAGGACAATCATGTCCTTTCCACATTCAGGGTGCGGTTAGATAGCGTTCATCAAGTGTTGACGTCCTAGGTCCATCATGGATGTTGGTTCTTCATTGGAAGGACATCTCCGCTCAAGAAAAACTGTCAATGGATTTGTTCAAGGGAAAATCTCAACTGGAAACTTAAGGTTTTTTCCGCAGAATTTCCATGAAACCAATTCCGGCAAAATGAGAAAAGTGCACCAATTCCTTGTCCTTTTCTCCAAGGCACCAAAGTGATGCCATCGCAACTTAAGGTTTCACCCATCACCTGCTGTTTCTGCTTTTGCTTGATCATATCCTAGCGGCTGAGACATCACCCACCCTGCGGTGATGGTGTTTCAGGCTGTTGCAGCAAAGGAAAGATGCTATGTGCATACATAGTATACATACATTTATATTTTAACAATGTGTAACCCACCAAAAAGGCCCTCTGTTTTCATCTTCTAATTGTTCTGCGGTCCACACAGAACCATTGATGTCAGCCACATCTTTAAGCTGATACCAGCTGAAACACCCTCCGGGGTTTTACAGCGAAAAACATGAGTTGAAGGCAACCATTTCAAAATTGAAGTCCACACAAAAACGGTCACAGATGGTAAACATCTCCATCTCTTGTAGTTGGACAAACACACTTGGGTTTGTCTGAAACTCCTAACAATCCAACGGAGTCTATATCATCATATGTTCCCCATGAAAATTTCCGCAAATTGTGAAATGCCTGTGGTATCTGTGGTACATCCAAGATTTTCGGCCAAACACAGCTGTCTCAAGAAGATCCTGTGCGATGGCAGCCATCTCTGCATGCTTTGCGGACTTCGGCGCAGCAGGCTTTCGGGACTTGGGCGTACCTCGGCAGGACGCCCAAAAATCCCAAAATGATGCGGAAAAGCCCACTTTCTGGAGGGAAATCTGACATTTTAGAAAAAATGATCACGGTTTTACTGGAAATTCCCGCCTCTAATTGAGCTATACCATTTTGTTCCCTTCAGATGCTCAAGATAGACGAAGTCGTCTGCAGTTGTCCTTCCACATGCCCAATTTAATAGCATGCAGCAGGCAACGGCCAAAAACGCAGCACCCAAAAACTTTCAACAGAACGCAGCGTGTGGTTCCCTGATACTTTGACCAATGAGCAGTGGGGATACATCCAGTCTGGTTCAAATGGTTAACCTTAGATACTCCGCGAAATGATTGTCTTCAAGCAGGACATCATATTTGCAATATCTGGGACCTGGGATTTCCTAGAACGGTGGACCTCACAATTGTCCAATCTATGGGTAAATTTTAATGAGGAAACCGATGGTTTTGGTGGAGAAACATCAATTTGCTTGGGTTGCTTTTGCCCATTTATGGCTAAAATTGACCCATTCGAAGCTGGTCCTTGCCATTTTGCAGCACTAGCTACAATGAGCAGCCAGATCATTGCTTTGATTGCCCTGTTCCTTGCGATGGGCAAGAAATAGTTCGTTCTCACATCAATGAGCCTGTCAATCTACTACTTGGGTTTGTCTGTAATAGGGTACCCCTGAATTTAATGGTTTATGATGGTTTATCTTCATGTTCCTGGAATGTTCCCCATTAAAAATCGCCATTTCAGTCAGGGTATCCCCCATGTTCAGAATCGCAAGAGACAACGAGTAAAAAAAGAACTTCTAACAGAAGGCAGAAGACTATTATGGACACCAAAAGCCAACAAAAAAAATATTGGTCATGCAAAACTGCATGCAACTAACAACTGTTAAAACACAGTGAAAAAAAGTTTTCATTGCGACAACAGGTGGCTTTGTACAAACATAGAGTGAACGTACAAAGAAAATCAAAGAAATTTACCTCCAGAATACCCACAGTATAACGATAGTATGGCATCAGAAAACATCAACAAAAAACGTCTAGCAAACAACTTAGAAACGCCGACTTCCCAGCATCCTCCCACCATTTGGATCCCATTTTTCTCCCCCGCTCCTTCAAGCTTAAAGGATCCACCAAATCCTCCTGGCCCAAAGTCGCGCCGAACGCTTTCTATCTAGGGAAAACACGGGAAAACAAAAAAAAACACACTAGAAAACAAAATCTCTCCAGAAAGTTCAGGCATTTCAAGATCTGAACTTAACAGATCTTTCAAGATCTGAACAGAAATTCACCCTAAAACCCAACTTTCGCTGGGCTTCACCAGCCCTTCTCGTTTGTGAGGCCTCGTGCGTGTGCTCAAGACTCAGAGCCTTGATCACCTGTGGCAAAGCCAAGAACTGGACCATCTGGACCATGCCGGGGACATTAAGAACTATGGAAATGGGGAATGCGATCAATTGGCCAAGAATAGACTATGTGGTACACAACCATTTGGCCGATTTGGATAGAAAATGCAAAACAGTGGAACTGTTATTGGGCGTATACCAGTTTCGTGTGACGAAAAATGTGGTATGACGACATGACGTGGTTTGAAGCAGCCACGGGAAGTCCATATTACGGGTGTCAAAATCGTGCCTATAAGACAACCACAGCTGGGCATCCCACATGTTTGTGGTATCAAGCTATCCACACCAGAAGTATTCCCTTGGCCAGATTCACCCACAACTTGTTGTGAACCACTTGGGATTTTTTTTGCCAGAGTGAAACTTCCAAACGTAATCGCTTACCCCCGAAATCCAATGGATTATCATTGAACCATCGTCCTCCACATTAAAATAGCCATAGATTGAAAGTAAATCCCCCCCAGTTTTGGACATGGAGAATCTTTCCCACACGCAGGGTCAAGACCCATAACGTGTAAATTCACGTTCTTGTCAGGTGCCAATCACCTTGAAAAACAATGAACAATCCATTTTGAGACAAGCTAAATGACCCTCAACTGGACAAACAGACAGACAGACAAACAAACAAACAAACAGACAAACAAACACCTGCGCTTCACCCCCTTGCATCTGCTGCATGTTGCACCTTGGATTGAAGCAAACCACTGGAAGCAGTGGCCGCCCCCTCACAGGCTTCATCAGACGGCGCCTGGCTGAAACATCGGCGATTTAAACAGCTAAAATGCGGATTTCAGCATTTGAAAAAAGGATCTTATTGTGGGTTTAAAAATGGGCATGTATCCTCAATCAGTGGCTAAATCAGAACACAATACTTGTGTTGCACCATGTCTTTGGATCAACCCATGTGTCAAAAAAACGAGGAATTTGATTTGATTTGAACAATGGGATCATGAATATGAATTGGTTCCAAAATGGAGAGCATTTAAGATCAATCAATTGTCAAACCATTGGATTTTGGGGTATCCCATTTTCAGATCAACCCTTCGGGCATGGCCATCATGTAAAGACTGGGCATCTGACTTGAATGCACTAAATATAGAATCACATTGACGCGAAATTTGCGAAATGAACAAAACCTGTCAGTCTGGTGGGTTTTCAATCTTGACCATGCCCAGACACTCATGCTATAGTCGTTTTGGCTAGCGTTTGTATTGGGATGTATTGTCAAACATTCTGGCTATACCCATCCTCAGGATCAATTTCAACCCCTCATTGAACGCTTCAAGCGAAGTTTTTGGATTTATCTCACCATCTGAATCTGTGTATTTGTCCTTTCCAAGACAAGCCTCAGAACCTCACAATAATTTCGCAGTGACCAGGAAAATCTGGATTGGATAGCAATGCCTCAAAAAAAAATCGGAGTATCGAGCACCAAAAACCCATCCCCGCGGCCAGAAAACTCGTTGCACCTGAGAAGCAACGGTATAGACATAGAGCAACAGTAACCCAAAGGGCCACATCACGGTAGGGGTCCTGCAAGACACGCCCTTGCGTCCTTCTGTGTCAGGATTCTCGCAGTAGGATGCGGATTTTCAATTTTGGTAGCTGGTCCAACAACCAAAATTATATAAGTTGGAGAAAGTCCGGGAGCGTCTGAAATCTGGAACCAAGACCCAATGGTTGGAAAATAATGTTCCCTTTGAAATCTAGCATTTTTTTTGGTATTGGCGTATTCCCCAATTTCACACAAACCCGAGCCCATATGTCGTATGTCCTTGAGTCTTCGAAGGCTAGGTGTTTCATTTTCTCAATCCAAAATGTGTTGTTTCACCCTGAATCCAAACAGCCAAATGCCGGCAGAAGACCTGTCCTGCACCAGGATGCAGGACCCAGGAATGAACGGAGCCAAGCACGAACTCGCTTGATCCACAAACCGTTGACGGACTACAGTAACCACAGCCATCATGTGTATGAATCCAGGATGTCAACATCACTTGGTGCAAACTGAATAATTACGACTGCCGCCCAGTACCGCTGTCACCAGCCACACCCACAATTTTTTCCGCCGGGGGTCGCTGCCAGCATTGCAGCAATGCCTCAGATGGTACGTGAGAAGTGTGCAGACTGTCACCCCAAACCCCTGCTTGAACGAAGTTGTCATATGGATGGGAAAACCCATTGAACCGAAACCAGATTCTGTAAGCATCTGTAAGCCCTTGGTTCACCATGAACCAGCAAAGATTTGGGCATTGCTTATGCTGAATCAGAAATCCCCGGGTCTTTTGGGGCCCTGGTCTTCTGATGACTCTGACTATACCCGTCATTGTTGGGTGAAGTAGGCTCGGCATTTTGAGGTACATGCAGAGTGTGCCCCGGGGCGGATTTGAACTGTTCGGTTCAAGTTCGAACTGCGGTTCATTGCTGCCCGGGATGGGGGGGAGTGCGATTTCAAGTTCGAGGTCGGGAGGTCTTGCAACGGGACGGGGGGGGGCAGTTCGAGTTCGAATGCAGTTCGAAGTCACAAGCCGGGAATGAACTGCATTTTTTTCCGCCGGAGGGGGGGGGAGTTCGAGTTCGGGTTCGAGGTCAGAATGGGACGGGGGGGGCAATTCAGGTTCAACTTCAGTTCGAAGTCACAAGTCGGGAAGGAGCTGCATTTTCTTCCGCCGGAGGGGGTTCGAGTTCGAGGTCGGGAGGTCTTGCAACGGGACGGGGGGGAGGAGGGCAGTTCGAGTTCGAGTTCAGTTCGAAGTCACAAGTCGGGAAGGAGCTGCATTTTTTTTCGCCACTTCAGTTCGAATTCGGGTTTGCCAGCCCCCCCGTCCTCGTCAAGTTGGGATTCAATTCAGGCTCAACCAACCTTAAAAATAAGACTTGTGAATCAATTAGCCAAAAAAAATCCTAAACCGGCCACTCTGCAGTGTACATTTTTTTGCACTCCGCGCTCGACGCCTTTTCATGCTACGCAGGCACAGTATCTGGTGATGTGGCAACTTGCCATAGACCTGACCAGCCCCACTCTAGATTCCGCAAATTTCACATTCCACTCCACACTGTGGCGTCGCGGTGTGTATGGGGGAAGCTGGAAAACCTCTCCTATTCGAATGTGTCCAAGCAGGTTGTCATGTCGTTTTGCGTGGCAAGCGTGGCACTTTGTGACATTCCAACCTGTTTGATAATGTGTCGAATATGTCAAAATTGATGAAAGTCTCGTACGAAATGCTGGTTTTTCTGCATCCACTTTACACTCCACACTCCACGCTTTACACTCCTCACTCCACACTCCACACTTTACACTCCACGCTCCT